ACCCTGAAAGCCATCAAACACAAAACGATGGAAATAAAGTAGAAACGATGACGCATCCACGCCATGGAAAACTTTACAGCCACAGAGGCCACAGAAATGCCACCAAAGATGCAAGGCAACGCGAGTGCCCGCCACGCCACGGAAATGCACACGAAGAAAAGGCCAAAACGGCAAATTCCATGTCGTGTATGCTTAGCACAATAAAAAATGCTACTAAGAAGAAAAAAGCCAACAAAAACTGCACATATATACGATTATCCACATCCGTATGTAAGCGTGTCCTGCGGGGCCAGAAAAGTCCTCGGGAAAACGTAGGGCGGGTACGTGGTGCAGGGTCACGGGCGCGTTCGTATAAAGTAATCTTTCCTGCACAATTTAAAACCCACTGTTAAAGGGATGGGTGACTTATCATCACACGATCCGCCACAAGACTGAATCCTGGAGAAGCTCCAAGGCTGTGTTTGGCCGGCGGGTATGGACTATCTTCCCCCCTCAAGCCTCCACCCTGGAATAAGGCCACCTCCTCACCGGCTCACTCACGGAGGCCTGGGCACTGGGTGCCACACCCCGGCCCAGGCAGCACCCCGAGAGCTGGGCCATCCCCACCAACCTGTGCCGGCAGCTGCGGCCTCTGTGCTTATCAAGGCCTCACACACACGCTTCCTGCTCTCCACACAAGTGGAGAAAACTGCTCCTCCCCAGGCTTCCGGCCTGGCCAGCCTCCTGCAGAGAGAGGGGCCCGGGACCCAGCACACCGCGGCCCCAAAGCCAGAGCCTTTCCTGCTCCCAGGCTGAAGCAGCTCCCTGGTCACCGTGCTCAGCAGACGCAGCAGGAAATGAGACCCCCGTGGGGTCTCAGGACACCTTAAGGCACTTTTCATTTGGGGATCCCAGGTCCATTTGAACATCCACTGCAAACACTGGGGACGTTCTCCCCAGTAAAATGCACCCGCCTATAAAAGCCTGCACACGATTTCAGAGGATCCCCCAAATCAGCCCCGAAGCCTGGAACCTAGGCCTTCCAAGTCACCCTACCTCTTCCAGACCTCGGTCCTCAGCTGTCAAAGGCAGGTAGTAAACTGCCTCTCCAGGCAAGAATGATCAATGAATCTTCCTAAACCCCTGTGCTCGCCCCAGCCTCTCCCCCAAGCTCCAAACTCATAGCCTCTTTGACAACTTGAGCACATCCAAAGCCTTACTCTTCATTTTTTCCTGTCCAACCCTGTCTCCGTCTCTTCCCACTGGCCCCTCCTTGGCTCAGGACTTCACTCAGGCCTCGGACCAAACCCGAGGAGTCACGGCCCATGCCTCTTTCCTCACCCCACCCCCAATCCACCAGCAAGACCGGAAAGGCCCCCCAAAGAAAACAGCCCGCCTCACCCTCACTCCACCCCCAGGGGACAGGAGCACCCTCACCCCTGCCAAGTCTAACAACCAAAAGCATCTTGGCCACTGAAATGTCCCCTGGGGGCAAGAGGTCCCCCGCTGAGACCCTCACTCTGCAGCCTCAGCTCAGGTCTGGCCTGGACCCTGCCTCTGGCCTCTTAATGGGCTCCCTGCCTTGGTCCGGCGGAGAAGTCCCGTCCTGTGAGACATGTCACCTGGCTGGGGTCATCTGCGAACAAGTAGAGTTAAATGAGGATGTACTGTCACCCACCTGACCCTCCCTCTTCAAACGTGCAGGAAACAAGCACCCCCCCCCCCCCCCACCCCCCGCTCCAGTCCCCTGTCCTCTGTGCACAGGCCAGCGACTGGACTCCTCCCATACATGGCGACCTCGAAAGTAACCAAAGATTAAAGCCAGGTCGCCATGTTCACCTATCAACTAAGAAACAGGTTTTTATTTATTTTTTTAAGGTTCATTTATTTATTGGCTGCACAGCACGTGAGATCTTAGTTCCCCAACCAGGGATCGAACCCACACCCTCTGTGTTGGAAGGGTGGAGTCTTAACCACTGGACCGCCAGGGGAGTCCCTGAAAAACAGGCTTTTAAATTAAAACAGCCAAAGCTGACTAGGGTGGGTGGCTACAAGCACACTGTCTGGTGGGGCTTGAATCAATGCTGCGTTTGGAGAGCTCCTTGACAACACCAACAAGACTTCTGTGACCTGGTAATTCCACCTGGAATTTCAATAATTCCATCTCCGAAAAGCTGTACTAAACACTACTACATACAGGAAAAAAAAAATCTATGTACAAATATGTCCCTGTGGCATTATTTTTTTTAATACATGTTTATTGGAGTATAATTGCTTCACAAAGCTGTGTTAGTTTCTGTTGTACAACAAAGTGAATCAGCCACATGCATACATATATCCCCATATCCCCTCCCTCTTGCGTCTCCCTCCCACCCTCCCTATCCCACCTCTCTAGGTGGTCACAAAGCACGAGCTGATCTCCCTGTGCTATGCAGCTGCTTCTCACTAGCTATTTTACATTTGGTAGTGTACATATGTCAGTGGTACTATCACTTTGCCCCAGCTTCCCCTTCCCCCCTACCCTGTGTCCTCAAGCCCATTCTCTATGTCTGCGTCTTTATTCCTGCCCTGCCACCAAGTTCATCAGTACCATATTATTTAGATTCCATGTATATGTGTTAGCATACAGTATTGGTTTTTCTCTTCCTAACTTACTTCACTCTGTATGACAGACTCTAGGTCCATCCACCTCACTACAAATAACTCAATTTCGTTTCTTTTTATGGCTGAGTAATATTCTATTGCATATATGTGCCACATCTACTTTACCCATTCATCTGTCAGTGGGCATTTAGGTTGCTTCCATGTCCTGGCTATTGTAAATAGTGCTGCAATGAACATTGTGGTACATGTCTCTTTTTGAATTATGGTTTTCTCAGGGTATATGCCCAGTAGTGGGATTGCTGGGTCATATGGTACTTCTATTTTTAGTTTTTTAAGGAACCTCCATACTGTTCTCCATAGTGGCTGTATCAATTTACATTCCCACCAACAGTGCAGGAAGGTTCCCTTTTCACCACACCCTCTCCAGCATTTATTGTTTCTAGATTTTTTGATAATGGCCATTCTGACCAGTGTGAGGTGATACCTCATTGCAGTTTTGATTTCCATTTCTCTAATAGTTAGTGATGTTGAGCATCTTTTCATGTGTCTCTTGGCCATCTGTATGTCTTCTTTGGTGAAATGTCTATTTAAACAGATGGAGAAATATACCACGTTCTTGGATTGGAAGAATCAATATTGTGAAAATCCCTATACTACCTAAAGCAATCTACAGATTCAATGCAATCCCTGTTAAACTACCAATGGCATTCTTCACAGAATTAGGACAAAAAATTGTATGGAAACACAAAAGATCCCAAATAGCCAAAGCAATCTTGAGAAAGAAAAATGGAGCTGCAGTAATCAGGCTCCCTGACTTCAAACTATACTACAAAGCTACAGTAATCAAAACAGTATGGTACTGGCACAAAAACAGAAATATAGATCAGTGGTACAGGATAGAAAGCCCAAAGATAAACCCACTCACATATGGTCACCTAATTTACAATGAAGGAGGCAAGAACATACAATGGAGAAAAGACAGCCTCTTCAATAAATGGTGCTGGGAAAACTGGACAGCTACATGTAAAAGAATGAAATTAGAACACTCCCTAACACAATACACAAAAATAAACTCAAAATGGATTAAAGACCTAAATGTAAAACCAGACACTATAAAACTCTTAGAGAAAAACACTCTTTGACATAAAACCACAGCAAGATCTTTTCTGACCCTCCCCCAGAGTAATGAAAAGTTTAAAAATAAATAAACAAATGGGAACTAAGTAAACTTAAAATGGGTGGTGTTATTTTTAATATTAAAACACTGGAAACAACTCAACTGTCTAATCATGAGGAAAACATTGAGAAAACTTTTCTGGATCTTCTCAACACATTACACAATCACTTACACTGAGGACCATGAAGAATGTATAACAAATGAACAACATAAAATATAAAATTGCATCCGTAACATGATTCCAACTATGTTTCAAAACCACAATGCACGGTTGGGGGGGAACAGGTGGAAAGGACTCCAGGTGATTTCTACTTCTTCTTTCCACTTTTGAACTTTTCAATTTTTCTTTAAAAGGCATGTATTACTTTAAAATGTGTTTTAACAGACTGTTCTAAAAGGAAGAAATAAATCCATTCCTTTGCGTTACAGCTACCTGTCCACAGGAGTGCCCATCAGAAGTAAAACACCGCTGAGCTCGGGGACACAGAGGTGCTTAAAACAGACCTGGGCCCCAGCTGGGGTCCCGTTCAGTCCCCAGGGACAGGTAGGTCGTGATACAAAGACCACGAGGAGGAACCTGAGGTCACCCCAGAGAGAGATCTGGGTGGCCAGGGAGGAAGGCAGGAGGCCTGAGGCGGGAAGGGAAAGCTGGATGGGACCACAAGCGGCTCCTGCCCCAGCCTGCTGCTTCCTAGCCCCGAGCCCCCAGGATGAACCAGGAAGGGGGTGAGAGCTGTCATCCATGCAGGAGTGAGCTGGGCGATTCCCTCCTCAGGATAGAGGGCGTGGGTGTGGCACGTACTCCCCCCACATGTCTGAGGGGCAGGCCAGCGAGGGAATCTGACCTCCAACGGCCCGCCACACTCTATCAGGGCTGTTTCCTTTTATCCCAGTGCCAATGGCATCTCTAACCAGTCCCCGAAGTTGAGAACCGCCAGCGACCCCACAAGCTATAGTCACAGCCTGCAGTTCCCAAACGTCCGCACCACCTTCCAGGAGGCCTCCTGAGACCCTGAGCCACTGGAAGAAGAGAGGATTTCTGTGGCGGGAATGAAGCCACCGTGGCCTCCCTGCCCACCTCCCCGCAAAGAGCCGCAGGAGGCCGTCCCGCGGGCGCCCCGCCCCCTCCTGAGCACGCAGGCAGCGGAGGGGAGGCCCGACGGGGCTTCGGCGCCACACACACACCCCTGCACCGGCTAGGGGGTGGGCGGGGGGAGGACCGGGTGCCGGAGCCACTAACCTTCTCCAGCTTCTCGAAGTGCTCCCGGAGGAACCTCATGGGGCGCTCGGGCTTGGAGATGCAGAGCTGCACGATGCAGTCCTTGAGCACCTGCTGGGCGCCGTGCTTCTGCACGTAGAGCTCGCAGCCCCTCAGGCCGTCGTCCTCCTCCAGCTGCTGAGCCGCTGGCGAGGCCATGGCGACCCGCTGCCCGCTTCCTGCGGAGGAAAACGCGAGTCCTGCCGACCTCGGAGGGGCAGGACTCCCGCGGCCTGTGAACACGCGTCTTACACGCACCGTAAGGTTTATCTGGTGACCGACGTGACCTGGTGACACGCCAGGCGTTTTATTCTGCTGCTGTCAAAGGCCTCTCACCCTGGGGGGCAAAGCTCAACTCTAAACAGATGCTCGCGGGGATGGAGGGGGATCCGGCGGGTTCCGGGCGCGGCTGAGAAACCTGACGACGGAGAAGCGGGGCCCAGCGTGTGCAGCCCAGGCGGTTATGGGGTCTCACTTGCGTCCGTCCCTCCCCCTTTGGAGGACAGTGTGTGCCTGGAGCGCCCTCCGCGAGCTCCCGGGGAGATGGCGGGGGGGACAGGGGGAGCTCTTACAGGCTCCGCCGGAAAAGAAAGGGAAACAAAAACAAACGAAGCTCCGCGGACGGGCCTCCTGGGAAGATGAACCCGGAGAACAATGGCAGGGCCGCGCGTTCGGCTCGCGCTCGGCCAGGTCACAGTGACGGCCCGGAACCCGGCCAGCCCGCCAGCGCCGAGCACGCAGCCCGGCGACCCCGGCCCCCCAGCCCCCCAGCCCCCCGACCACGGCTTCCAGACCCGGACCGGCCAAGGGGGCGGGGGCTCCCCGAAGGCCAAACTTCCTGGGGCATCCCGGCCGGCGGGGGTTTCCGGAACAGACCCCTCCCCAGCCCCGCGTACCTGGATGCGCGGCGCCGGAGGCCGGAGGCGGCTGCGCGGGGACGCGCGGGCGCGGGGACGGCGGGCGAGTGGGTCCCGCACTGCAGCGGCGCCGCCCTCCGCCCGCCCCCGCGCCGCGCCGATCCACCCCCAGCCCCGCCGCCCCCTTCCCGCCGACCGCGCTCCAGGCCTTCCCCGACTCCCCGCTTGCCCCTCCCCGCCCCATCTCACTCCCGCCCCCCACCCCGTCTATCTCCCACATCCCCAGGACCCACCTCTCCCTCCCCCCTAGATTTCCCCTCACCGGCAGCCTACCCCGTGCCCTCCCTCTTTCCCCCTCCTCCCTCTCTTTCTCCTCCTCTTCCCTCCCCTCGCCCCTCCCCCGCCCCCACGGCATTCAGGCTGACAGGCCTCGTGCTGCACAGACAGACCCACAGATCCGTGTGAAGCTGCGCAGCTGGACCAGGACCACTACTACCGCCCCGCAGGCTCCCTCCTCACCCCTCCACCCCCTCCACTGGAGCCTCTGCGATTGCCCGGATTGTCCGCCCTGGCTGGTGGCAGCCACCTGCTGCCTTGGGGTGATGGCCTCCCCCACCTTCACACCTGGGGTGTCACATATGCATGTCACAGGGCCTGCATTGGTGGCCAGGCAGGTCTAGGCTACTCCTTTTCTTGGTTAAGGGCACCAGCTTCACCCAGATGCCCCAGGGGGAAATCACAGGGTCATCCTAAATTCTTCCCACCACCCATGGGCTTCCAGGAGGTCAGAGGCCATCACAGCCCCTAATCCACCAGCCCAGGCCTGCAGGAAAGGGAATCACCCTTATTTTCCTGTTGCCTAAAGTCATGTTTTGCTCCCATTCTGCCAGGGTGGTGGTGGAAACATCATCTCGGGCAGTTGGGGGTCCCCAACGCTTTACCTGGAGCAGTCTGAATACCAGGAGATGGGGTAGGGATCTCAGGCCTTTAAAGGGGAAGACCTCTGCTCTCCCACCCATACTGCCCCGTCCACAAAGACACATTGCAGGGTGGCCGGCTGCCCCGCACGCACCCCAGCAGGGCTGACGCTGACCCAGCTTCTTTCTGACGGCTTGAAGCGAAAGGAAGAGGATGTGCTCAGGTAGTCAGACTAGGAACTCCTTCCTGCCTCTTCATCCCCTGCCCTCGGCGTGCTTCCTGGCCCATCCCCACCTCAGGTACAGTCACACCTGTCCCATCACACTTATTGCAAGAGTCATTTTCGGGAACTGAAGTCCAGTCTCAACTGAATCAAAACTTTATTCCACAACTAATTTAAACTGTTGGCTGTTTCTCCGCTCCACCTGCCCGATTGCTCAGACCTCCTCTCCCCGCTTGCTGCCCCTCCCCCCCGCCCCCCAGTTACTGCTGGCTCCTCAGGGTGGCCTGGTGAAGAGGATGACAAAAAATTAGGGCCAGGTTTCACTTGACGGACTTGGGGGCGGGGGGCATATGCTCCAGGGCTGGCTTTTGTTCTCAGAATCTCCTGAGGTGCTCCAGGGATCTCTGCAGGGACCTTCCCCCCCCCTCGCACGGTTCCGTGGGAGGGGGAGACCCTCTCCGAGGATGGCCTTCTAACCCCGAGCCCCCCCTCCACACACATAGCCTCCTCCTGGCAGGGAGCCCCCTGGACCACCTCTTGCAAGACAAGGAGCTCTCCGGGTTCAGGGCCTGGCGGTCGGCTCAGTGCACCAAGCCCACCAGAAACTTGGTTCCTCCACCCCTCTCAGCTGTGGCTGGACGAGCCCCATCCTCACACCACCACGGTGGCAGCTCCCACCAGCCTGTCCCCTGCAGACCCTTCCAGGCCACTCAGGTAGCTACCTCAGAGGCCCTGCCAGCCGGGGGCTACAAGCAGGCTCTCCCTAAGAACTCCCTCCCCACCTTCCTCAAGGAGTAGTGCGCGGCCAGGTCCCCCACCCGTGGCCCAGCCTGCAGACAAGCTCCCCCCATCTCTCCTGTGCCCCTGCCCCCTGCGTCGCCTGAGTGGAAGGGCAATGCTTCCAACACATCCAGGCACTCACTGCTTCAAGGAGGGGAGCCAGGGGCCCTCGAGAAAGCCTGGCCTCGCTCTGAGTCTGGGCCAGGCTGTGTTAACCAGCAAATGTCTGCACTGATGGCACAGCGGTTGTTTGCAGCTGATCCAAGTGGCTCCACCCTGAACGACACGATCCCTCCGGCCCCTCCCTCCGTGATGGGGGACGGCGAGCACAGGGTCCGTCAGGGAAACTGACCAGACCACCGGCAGCCAGTGGCCTGACGTGAGGACGGCAGGCATCCGCCTCACAGAGCACGGACAGGAAACCGTGTGGACCAGTGATGCCACACACAGCTAGGTCGATGTCGCCACCGCTGGATGGTGACAAGTCCCGGTTTATTGGGTGTCCTGAAAACATGCAATGGTGATCATGTCATCATTCAGAAGTCCCAGCAAGTCGTGCTGGTCTGTGTGTCCCCTCCACCCACAGGGAAGGACCCACCCCAGCACAGCCAGCAGAAGGGCTTCACGTGCCCCAGCCCCGAGGTCCTCACCTCAGCCCTGGAACCCAAATCACCAAGTCTTGCAAAGGTCCAACTTCAAAGCCACATTATTTTCCAACCCCCCCTCTCCCCCGCCCCAAACTCCTGACTCTGCCAAGTCCAGTTCACCCAGCAAGACTCAACGGGGACATTGCTTCTGCGGGGAGCCCTCCCTGTGGCTCCCACACCTGAGGGCCAGGTTGGGCCCTGGGGTGCCGCCCAGGGCTCCCTGCAGCTGCAGCTCTATTCTAAGTGTGCCAGAGGCCATTTACTGAACTTCTGTCCCCCCCATCCCCCCCTCCTGCAGGGCAAGGAGACAGATATCCGCTGGGGTGAGGAAAGGAGGGTTCTCACCCGCCCGCCCAGCGCTGACGTGGGCCCTGCCACCTGACCCGCGTGGGGCCGTGGGGCGGGGCCGGGGGCTTTACCTGGAAGAGCCATCGAATCTCCCCACCCGTCTAGGTGGGTGTGACTCTCAACCCCAGCTGACAGAGACTGAAGGGACCAGCGGGTGGGAGCAGAGCAAGAGGCCCAGGGTCAAGTCCCGTGACCAGCCACGTCCCTCATGGGGGAGCGAGCTAATTCCTCCCGGGAGCAGAGAGCCAACCTGGGGGGATGTGGGAGAGGAGCTGGGGTCAGGAGAGCAGGGAGCCCAGAGCGGGGATGAAGGGGAGGGACACGGCCTTGGGGCGCAGCCGCAGGCTCCTGAGAGGCAGCAGGAACCAGTCAGTGCATCTAATCCACACACTGCTCCCGGGGATGGTTTGGGGGTGTGGCGGGTGGGCCCCAGGCGCACCCAAGGCACTCCCAGCAGAGGACCCAGCCCTCTGCGTGGACCCGGGGCCACCTTCAGGGGACACAGCTGAGCCCTGCCTGGACTCCTGACCCACAGACCCTGAGGTGATCAGGGGGTGTAAGGTCCTGAGTTTATGGTGACTCCCCCAACGTCTGCAGAAAACAAAGCTGGTGACAACCTCAGGCAGCGAGGGCTGCCCGTCCCCAGGGCCCCATCATGCTTTCGTCTGTCCCTGACGAGTGTCTTCCCCCATCCGTGTTGTCCTCAGGCATCCTGCCCTCTGTTCCTCCCCGCACCTGCTCAGGACGTCCCCGCCCCGCGCCCCGAGCGCCGAGCACCGAGCACGGGCTCCGCTAGGAGGAGGAGCTGCTGCGGATGCCGGGGACCCCGAGCGCCCCATGAGAACCGGCCGGAGGAGACAGCGAGTGAATGGACCAACCCAGCGCATCTGCTTACATCAGTTTATTATGCTGGCGAAACGACACACTTCACCACGTTTGTAACCAGGACACTGAATGAGGGGGTCCTGGAACAGACCTGAAGCTGCTTTTTCCTACCTTGGCCGGGTCTTTTTTTTTTTTTTTTTTGAGGTACGCGGGCCTCTCACTGTTGCGGCCTCTCCCGTTGCGGAGCACAGGCTCCGGACGCGCAGGCTCAGCGGCCATGGCTCACGGGCCCAGCCGCTCCGTGGCACGTGGGATCCTCCCAGACCGGGGCACGAACCCGCGCCCCCTGCATCGGCAGGCGGACTCTCAACCACTGCGCCACCAGGGGAGCCCTTGGCCGGGTCTTTAAAATGTATTCGGAGAAGGAGTTTCCTTCTCTGCTCCTGCCTATACATTTTGGCTCAAACGTAGAGAATTTCAAAGTTCTACTGTCATGTTAAGATATAAACCCAGGGTCAACTCGGTCATTGTAAGTGTCCAGAGCTATGAAATGATCATAACTCCAGCCTGACTTTAAAGTTAAAGCCTTTTCCTTCCTCTGGTGAGGCTGAGGCGGGAGGCGGGCCGGGAAAGGACCGAGAAGTTTTGCTTTTTCCCTCTTACCCCACCATCCACCTGCCCCAAACCTGACCTTGGAACAGCCTCTAGCAACTGGAATTCCCAGCCCAGGCCACTGAGCCAGGTGCCTCATGGACATGGGATCACACAACACGTGGCCTTTCGTGCTGGCTTCTCTCACTGTGCTTAACGTGGTCGAGGTTCATCCACACGGTAGCAGGTGTCAGCTCCGCGTTCCTGTTGAAGGCTGAGAGTCAGATATATGCCTCGTGTATTGTGTATCCATCCGCCCATCGCGGGCGGGTGGGGTGCTCCCGCCTTTCAGCTGCTGTGAATATGCTGCTGCGAAGGAGGGTGTCAAACCCGAGAGTCCTTGCCTCCCCTTCTTTCACCCATACATCCAGATGGGGACTTGCCGGATCACTCGCTAATCCTGTTGAATTTTTTCAGGAACCACCACAGTTTCCACGGTGGCTGCACTACTTTACATTCCTGCCGGCGGGCCTCAAGCGGCCTAATTCCTCCACATTCTTCCTCCCAAATGTCTGTCAGTTTCTGCTTGTTTTTTATAAGAACCATCCTAACAGGTGAGGTGGTGGCCAGACCTTCACGACAGGCACAAGCAGCTGGGCCCTCCTCTGCCACACTCTGACGGCCACAGCGAGTTCCAGGCCAGCTGGGGCTCCACTTTACTGGGAGAGGACCGGCCATGTGTGCAGAGCTGGGGAAAAATGGGCTACTTTGGAAACAACTACACTGAACATGTTTTTTGGCTGTGGGATTTTGGCAGACATGCCTTAGAGAACCTCCCTTCTAGTCGTAACTTGCTAAGATTTTAAATGACAAATGGGCGTCAAATCTCATCAAATGCTTTATCTGCAACTGCTGAGATGATCACACCATTTTTCTCCTTTTTTAAAAATGTGGTTGGACTTCCCTGGTGGCGCAGTGGTTAAGAATCTGCCTGCCAATGCAGGGCACACGGGTTCAAGCCCTGGTCTTGGAAGATCCCACACGCCAGAGAGCAACTAAGCCTGTGCGCCACAGCTACTGAGCCTGTGCTCTACAGCCCACGAGCCACAACTACTGAGCCCACGAGCCACAACTACTGAAGCCCGCGTGCCTAGAGCCCGTGCTCCACGACAAGAGAAGCCACCGCAGTAAGAAGCCTGTGCACCACAACGAAGAGTAGCCCCCGCTCGCCACAACTAGAGAAGCCTGTGTGCAGCAACAAAGACCCAACTCAGCCAAAAATAAATAAATAAATTTATTTATGTTTTTAAAAATGTGGTAAATCACATTAATTTTTTATGTTAAAAAATTAACTTGCATTCCTGGAATAAACTCAGTCTGGTCTCAATGTATTATCCTTTCTAAAGTGCCTATCTCCAGATTTAATTTGTTAAGATTTTGTTTAGGATTTTTGCATCTGTGTTGAAAAAAGTTGATCTCTAATATTCCTTTCTGTAATTTCCCTCTCACTTTTTGGGATCAAGGCTGTGACACCGGCTCCACAAAATGAGTTGGGAGATGTTCTCTCTTCCTATTTTCAGATTGGAGTTATTTCCTTTTTTAAAAAAAAACTAAGTTGAATTTTATTAAAATTTAAAACTTCTGCTCTGCCAATTACTGTTAAGAAAATGAAAAGCCACCGAGTGAGAGAAAATAGTAAAACATATATCTGATAAGACGTATCAAAATATATAAATCTTAAAACTCAACAATAAATACAATTAAAAATGGACAAAAGATCTGAACGTACATCTCACTAAATAAGATATAAAATGGAAAACAAGGATATGAAAAGATTCACATCATACGCCATAAGGAATTGCAAATAAAACAACAAGACGCCACTACAGACCCATTAGAATAGCTAACATTCAAAAAAAACTGACAATACCAATTGCTGGCAAGGATGTGACGCAATGGTCGCTCTCATTCATTACTGTCTGGGAATGCAAAATGGTACAGGCACTTTAGAAGACAACTTGGCGGTTGGAGTTACTTCCTTATTAAGTGTTCTGAAGTGTTTGCTGCCATCTGTGATTATAGCTTTTATTGTGGGAAGCTTTGAAATGATAAATTCAACTTCTTTAATAGGTAGTAGACTATTCTGAGTTTCTATTTCTTCTAGTGGAGATTTTAGTAAATTATGTTTTCCTAGGATTTCCTCTATTTCATATATTTTTTTGGCATAAAGTATTATTACTTTAGTATCTTTTTAATGTTTAGAACCTTTCATGATAAACTTTTACCCTCATGTTGGTATTCGTGCTTTTGAACTTCTTTTTTCCTTGTCAGTCCTGACAGGTGGGTTATCGATTTTATTAGCCCTTAAAAAGAATAAACTCTTGGTTTTAATAATCTGTGTTGTATGTATGTTCGTTTTACTGTTTCATTAATTTCTGTTCTAACCTTTATCATTTCCTTTCCTTTACTGTGTTCAGATTTGTCCGTATATTTTCCTGTTGGGGAAAAACAAATCAACATTTTTTTTTTTTTTTTTACCCTAAACGGGCCCCTGGAAGCAATTACAAAAGTATTTGTGGAACTAAAGAAAAACATCTGACATCAGTTTGACTCTTGTCCCTTTGAAGGCACCCTGTTCTCTCTCTGGCAGTCTCCCACAAACTCCTGTTTTTCTTTGGTATTCCTAAGTTTCACAACATGTCAATACGTGTGCCTCACTGGTGCTGTGTAGCTCCTTCAATCTGAAGGTCTTTCACTTTTAACTCTGGCAAATGTCTCGGTTATCCCTTTGAATACCTTCTCTGCCCCATTTTGATTATCCCTTTTTCTAGGACGTGTACTAACCAGAAATTAGCATTATCTGCTTCTATCATCCACCTTTTACGCAGCTTCTTTTATGTAGCTTCTTGTTCCTGTTTCATGTTGCTCAGATAAAGACTTTTCTCTCCTTGGTCCCCCTGTTCTACTGCCCCTGCTTATTCTATTCAGTCTGGAAGAATGGGGACGGGACAAGAGGCCAGATACCCCCTAAGTACTCATGTAGCCACCACCACAGTCGGGACACTCAAGCACCATCACTATACAAGCTCCTTCTGCCACCCGTGTAGTCGCACCCAGCCCCACCCCTAACAGCTGGGGACTACTCACGTGTCCCCCATCTCTGTAATTATCTCATGCATGTTATACACACAGAATCACACTATTGGTATCTGGTATGATTGTATTCTTTTACTCAGCATAATCCCCTAGAGATGCATCCAAGTTCTTGCATGTATCGATAGTTCCTTCCTCTTTATTTCTGAGTAGAACCGAGTTAATTTCCATGTTTGAAGATTGTCTGTTACTGATTTTTAGTTTGATTCCATTTTTTGTCAGAGAAAATGCTCTCTGTGACTTCACTTCTTTTACATTTGCTGAGGTCTGTTTTATGGATAGTCTATCCTGGCATGTCCCTGGGCACCTGTGAATACCGGGCATCCTGCTCTGTTGGGTGGAGGGTCTGTAAATGTCCACCGATCCCTTTGGTTGATGGTGTTGTGTCCTTGTGGAATGTCTAGTAGTTCCAGCACTTGTGGAGTGGGCGCTGAGGTCCTCACCTGGAACTGGGGGTTGGTCTCTCTCCTTTCAGCTCTGCCAGTGTTTGCTTCGTGTATCTTGAAGGTTTGTTGTTTGGGTCATAAGCATTTGCGATTGCTATGTGTCCTCCTGGTGGATGGATCCTTTTATTCTTATACAATGCACCTCCTTTTCTGTAGAAATTTCCCTCGCTCTGAAGGGAAATTAGCTGATATTAGTCATTGTGCTTTTTATAAGTGAATGTTTACACGATGTCTTTTTCCTTTTTCTTTCAACCTACCCACATCATTACGTTTGAAGTGAGTTTTAGCATACGGTAAATGACATATAGTTGGGTCGTGGTTTTTTATTCCCTCTGCAAATCTTTGTCTTCTAACTGGTGTGTTTGGCCCCTTTACATTTTGAACTATTGATAGAGGCTAAGTTTGCCATTTTATTATTTGTGTTTGTTTCCTCGTGCCATATTATGGGATACTTGAATATCCTTTAGAATTCCACTTTGTAACGTATTGAGTATATCACTGTTTACTTTTCTTAGTGGCTGTTCTACACACTCCTGTGCACGTATGTAATTATCAGTTTACTGGTACCGATGTTTCACATCTAGTGCAGTGTAGAAACCTCCCTTTACCCTCACTTTTCAAATATAATTATTGTAAATATTTCCCCCACGTGCACAGAGCTCATCGGTATTATAATTTTTATATATAAATTGATTTATTTTTGGCTGCATTGGGTCTTTGTTGCTGCGTGCTGGCTTTTCCCTAGGTGCGGAGAGCAGGGTCTACTCTTTGTTGTGGTGCACGGGCTTCTCATAGCAGTGGCTTCTCTTGTTGCGGAGCACAGGCTCTAGGCGCCTGGGATTCAGTAGTTGTGGCACATGGGCTCTAGAGTGCAGGCTCAGTAGTTATGGTGCACAGGCTTAGTTGCTCTGCAGCATGTGGGATCTTCCCAGACCAGAGATCGAACCCTTGTCCCCTGCATTGGCAGGCAGATTCTTAACCACTGTGCCACCAGGGAAGTCCCAGTATTATAGTTTTTGCTTCAACAATCAGATATAAAAGATATATATAAAAAAAAATATGCCACTTCCTTCTGGCTGCTGTGATTTCAGATGAGAAATCTGTCATTCACACTGGTGTTCCTCTCTAGGGAACACATCATTTCTCTCTGGCTGTTTTTACATTTTTTTTTCTGTCTTTAGTCCTCACAGATTTAATTATGATGTTTCTTAGTATGGATTTTCAGAAGGCTTATCCTACATAGGGGTTCCTTAGCTTCTTGTACCTATGGGTTTATGTCTTTCACCAAATTTGGGAAGTTTTCAGCCATTATTTCTTCAAACACTTTTTCAGCCCACATTCTCCCTCCTCCTGTTCTGAGACTCTGGTGACAAAAACGATTGTCCTGCAGATCTGAGGCTCTGTGCACTTTTTTGTTGTTGTTGTTGTTTTTGCGGTACGCAGGCCTCTCACTGTTGTGGCCTCTCCCGTTGCGGAGCACAGCCTCCGGACGCGCAGGCTCAGCGGCCACGGCTCACGGGCCCAGCCGCTCCACGGCATGTGGGATCTTCCCAGACCGGGGCACGAACCCGCGTCCCCTGCATCTGCAGGCGGACTCTCAACCACTGCGCCACCCGGGAAGCCCCATAAATATTTTTAAAAGCATTTTTATGACTGCTTTAAAATCCTTTTCAGATAATTCCAAGATTTATCTTGGTGTTCACGTCAGTTCACTTCTTTTCATGTTCAAATAATGGTTTTCCTTGGTTCTTGGTATGACCAGTGGTTTTTTACTGTATACTGGACATTTTGGTTATTGTGTTAGAAGAATCCTGATTTTATTTAAATCTTCTATTTCAGAGACTTCCCTGGCAGTCCAGTGGTTCAGACTTCGCCTTCCAATGCAAGGGGTGCAGGTTCTATCCCTGGACAGGGATCTAGGATCCCGCATGCCTCGCGGCCAAAACACCAAAATATATTAAAAAAAAAAAAAAGAAGAAGCAATATTGTAACAAATTCAATAAAAACTTTAAAAAATGGTCCACATCAAACAAAAAATTAATCTTCTATTTCAGCAGAAAGTCATCCAATTTAGGTTTAGTGTATAAATTCCAGCCTACTTTTATGGCCTGTGGTTCCAATGATAGTTTTATTTCCCCATCCCTTGCAATGCCCTTCCTGTCTGCTCCATTCTCCCGGTGCTGCCCCGGCTGTCACTCCATCCCTGTGGGTGCTGCCTGCAATGTCAGAAGGCATGTGGCCAGGCTGCCTGGTGGTTCAACAAAGACCTCAAGAAACAGCGGAACAGGGAAGCTTACGACTCACAGGTCCTGGAGGAGGTACAGGCAGAGTGCCCAGGAGTCGGGACCCGGGGCGCACACCTGTATTAGGTCCACAGGGCTGTGCTTTGGGGTTCCTGGGCTAAGGCTGGATAGGTCAGTTCAAACCAGAGGGAGCAGGGTTTTGGTGAGCTTCACAGGGGTTTAATCTATGGGGCCCACAGGGAGAGAGGTTATCACAAGGGTGTTGGGCGGGGGGGTCACATCAGGAACTTCGGTTTACTGGTGACTCTGCGGGCTGTCATCTAGGTCACGCACTCGCGGGAGGGCTCCTGTCAGTTCAAGGCCCCGCAGGCAGCGGGCCACACAGAACAGATGCTGAGGCAGTGATCGTGTACTCAGTGAGTGGCCTGTCGGCAGGTCTGGGTTGCAGCCCCCTCTAGCGCCTATTCCAGGAACCTGTAAACAAGAAAGAGAAACTCCAGGGACCCATCCCATGGCTGTTCCTCCAGTGCTGGAGTCCCCAGTCAGCCCGTCTCCTTTCCAGCTCAGAGCCTTTCCCCATTGTCTGAACTAGCTGCAAGGTACTTAGTTGTACTTCGTGGGGAGCAGCTGGGAAAGTGAGTCTGCAGGACTTCTGGGGCGGGAAGTCCACCACCCCCATTTAAGTGTTTACTCACTCATCTCAGCCAGAGCACGGCCTTCGCAACGGCCTCATGTGGCGACTGCCTGGCTCCCTGCTAACCTGTTCTGCAACAGCCAAAGCAGTTTTCTAAAAACACAAACCTTACGCGAAACTCTTCCACCTTAAATCCTCCCTTGCATCCCCCACTGGGACCCAGTGGAGCCACCCAGAGGACCCTGCTCCCCCTGGGCCCCTGGGCTCTAGCCACAGGGCACTTTTCTTCATTTCCCGGAACAGTGTCAGGCCCCCTCCCCGTATTTGTTCCTGGGGCTGCCCAAACAAGTACCATAAATAAACCTGGCGGCTTAAACAACACAAATTTATCTCCCCACTGCTCTGGAATCCAGAAGTCCAGGATCACGGTGTCAGAGGCTGCTTCCCCCAGAGCCGTTGAGGGAGTGAGTCTGCTCCAGGCCGCTCTCCTAAGCTTGCAGATGGCCATCCGTGTTCATGATCGTTCTCCCTGTGTGCTTGTCTGTCTCCAGTTTCCCCTTTCTATAAGGACACAGTCATATGGATTACGGCCCATCCTTCTTAACTTGATGAGTCTAAATGGCCCTATTGCTAAGTAAGGTCACGTTTTGAGGTCCTGGGGGGTCAGGACTCCACTACGTGAACTTTGGGGGGCACAACTGAGCAGTCCCACTCCCACCATAGGCCTTTGCCCATGCTGTCCTCTCCCTCTGCAACGCTTTCACCCCCCCTTCACCTAGTTAACTCTTAATTACCCACTATATTACGCTGGGGCTGTCACCTCCTCCAGGAAGCCTTCCAGTCTACGCCAAGTTCCTTGGCCTTCATCCCTCAGGACCACGGTAACTGCACGCTGATTAACGTGTCACCCACTAGACGAAGACCCGAGCCGGAGAGACCAGGTGCCCTCTCCACGTCACCGTATCCGACGGAACTGGTCCGACCCGGGCATGCAGGAGAGGTGAGGGTCACAGTAGCCACCTGAGGACACGAAAGGGCACGACCACCACGCCTGACTGTACACAAGTCCGCAGCGGCCATCATATCGGGCTCCAGACCTGCCCAGGACCCCCGGCCTGGCCCGCGTCCCCTCAGCCCTCCGACTCCCCGCCCCGGCCCCGCCCCCCGGCCGTGTCCTGTCAGTGTTCCGAGCTGCCAATAAAGTTACTCTCGGAGCCGACCGGAAAACGCGCCGTAATCCGCGCCGCGACCGTCGTAAAAGTGCCGGTCTCCCCTGGTGACTAGCAACGCGGGGGAGATGGCGGCGCTGGTGGCGACCGAGGCCGCGGCGTCCCCGGACCCGGCGGAAGCCGCCGAGACGGCCGAGGCGGCGGAGCTAAGCCGCGTACTGAGCCGCATGCTGCCCGGTCTGGAGGCCGACAGCAAGCTGGGCCGGCGGCGCGCGCTGGAGGCGCTGCAGCGCACCCTGGAGGCGGCGCGGCCCGAGGCGCCCGACGGCGACCCCGCCGCCGCAGCCGCCGCCTTTCAGGGCCCGTGGGCGCGCTTGCTGCTGCCGCGCCTGCTGCGCTGCCTGGCCGACCCGGCCGAGGGCTGCCGCGCGCTGGCCGTACACCTGCTGGACTTGGGCCTGCGGCGAGCCGCCCGGCCCCGTGACGCCCTCCCGCGCCTGCTGCCCGCTCTCGCCGCGCGCCTGGCCGGCCCCGAGCCCGCGCGCCGCCCACCGCCCGAGGTCTGCGAGGAGCTGCGCCTGGCGCTAGTGCAGCTGCTCCACCTGGCCGTACGCCTGAGCGGCGCTGCGCTCGCGCCCCACCTGGACGACGCGGTGCGCGTGCTGCGCTGCACGCTGCTTGACCCCTTCGCCGCCGTGCGCCGAGAGAGCTGCGAGTGCGCCGCGGGCCTGGCGCGCGCCACGCCAGGTGCCCGCCCTTGTCTCCTCCCACGTCGCCCCCTCCCCAAGCCCGCCCTCGTCCGCACCCTGTTGCACCCGCAGCCCGGAGCGCAGTGCCTGCCCGCAGTGGATGCTCGCTGGTTGCCGAGTGAAGCATCTCCCCGTCTCAACGCCGTCCCCTCTGTCCCCCACCCCCCAGTTGTGCGCACGGGGTCTCTCCTCTGGCTCCCCGCACACTGGGCAGTAGTGGACCGAAGCCTGCCTCGATCTCAGGACCCGAACGCTGAAAGAACTCGCCCCAAGTATCACAGAAATAGCGATCTTACAGAATGGTCTCAAGCAGCGGCACAACTGCTAAACCAGAGGGTTCGCTTGGCTGTCACGAAGAGCCCTTGGTTGTGACTTCCTGTGAGGCCTTTAGGAAGTGGGGTGGCTTTGCCTGAGGCGGTGCTGATCCAGCTTCCTGCGGTCGTGCTGGGTGTCTGGCTGCAGACTCATCCAGAGGTGGGGACACACAGTGTCTCCCCACTCAGCGTACTCTGGAGTGCCTGTCGCAGCCATCTGCAGCTTCAGGTTCTCCCCTGCCAGCTCTTGTGTTCAGCTGAGATGGGTCCAGCCCCGGCCTTTTCCCTTTGGTCCTCCCAAGTCTCTGGGTCGGAGAGGTGTTGTTTGGGTCACACGCCCAACTCTGCACCTCTTCTGGTGCTGGGGTACAAAGCTGTGTGTGGCCAGCCCAAGGGAACTAGGCCAGGGTTGACGCTCACAGGCTCCCCTGGTGACTGATGGTCTCCCCGTCCCACAGACCACTTCCACATGCAGTCGGAGTCCTTGATCGGCCCCCTGATGCAGTCCATCTCCCACCAGCACTGGAAGGTGCGGGTGGCCGTCATCGAGGCCACGGGCACAGTGATCCAGTTTGGCAGCGGGAAGTCAGTGGACGACGTCCTTCCTCACTTTGCTCAGCGGCTCTTTGATGATGTCCCCCAGGTAACCAGAGTTTCTCCTCCAGGCAGTCCCTTTTCTCCACCAGAAGTGTGCCAGTGTGCTATTTGTCACCCCCTCACTTTTGTCTTTTTTTAAAGCCACTATATGTGACGTTAAGTGTCCTTCCATCATTCGCTGTCACAGGTGTTCCTATTTCACGTCTTTGAGAAGCTGGGGGAGACCTGAGTTGTCTTAATATATTTGTTAAGGACTGCTTCCTTTTAGGAAGAAACTCTGAACTGAGTATTTCCACGGTTTGCAGAAGCATCTGTAACATCCTCCTCCATCAAGGTGATTTAATCAAAAAGCCACAGAGGTTGGCAAACGAGGCCTGGGAGGAGGATGGAGCCAGGGTTGGTGTGTTGGGGTAATTCCTTCCATTGGCTTTGGGGCCTGAGGAGAGACAGACAGACAAGACAGGCAGGCAGGTGGAGGTGAGAGAACCGGCTCTTGTTGGCAGAAGCCAGCTCAGAGGGCGTGTCATGGATTTGAGGCCGTGGGGAGCAGAGTGAAGGCTGTGAGGGCAGCCTCTCTCCCAAAGGGAGGATGGGGTGAAGGGCTCCGGTCCCTTGGGGTGGGAGGAGCGGTGGTTGCCAGTGGGGGACTTGCAGGGTGGTCGGCCCGTGGCCCCTGTGGCCCCGACAGCAGGAGTGCCAGCCTCCTCGTGTCCTGTCCATCCATACATTAAAGATCATCTCATTCCTTCCCACGGAAGTCCTCCACGTCCGAGGCTTGGGGCTGCTGTAAGGTACGCAGGGCCCCCAGCTGGAGCTGGCCCCCCGCTCCAGGCCTGGGTCTGGCCCCAGGCCGCTCGCAGCAACCCACCCCGCCTCCAACCACACGTCCTTGATTTGTTTCTTTCTTCTTGTTTTTTATTGGCGTATAGTTGATTTACAACGTTGTGTTAATTTGTTGTGCAGCAAAGTGATTCAGTTAGACATATATGTACGTTGTCTTTTAGACGCTTTTCCATTATGGTTTATGACAGGATGTTGAATATAGTCCCCGTGCTCTACAGTAGGACCTGGTTGGTTAGCCATCCTGTATGTACTAGTTTGCATCTGCTACTCCCAAACTCCCCCTCCATCCCTCTCCCACCCTCCTCCCCCTTGGCAACCACAAGTGTGTTCTCTATGTCTGAGTCTATTTCTGTTTCATAGATAGGTTCATTTGTGTCATATTTTAGATTCCACATATAAGTGATATCACATGGTATTTGTCTTTCTCTGACTTACTTCACTTAGTATGACAATCTCTAGGTTCATCCATGTTGCTGCAAGTGGCATTATTTCATTCTTTTTTACGGCTGAGTAATATTCCACTGTATATATATACCACATCTTCTTTATCCATTCATCTGTCCATGGACATTTAGGTTGTTTCCATGTCTTGGCTATAGTGAATAGTGCTGCTGTGAACATAGGGGTGCATGAATCTTTTCGAATTATGGCTTTCTCTGGATATATGCCCAGGAGTGGGATTGCTGGATCATATGTTAGCTATAGCTTTAGTTTTTTGAGGACCCTCCATACTGTTCTCCATAGTGTCTGCACCAACTTACATTCCCACCAACACTGTAGGAGGGTTCCCTTTTCTCCACACTCTCCAGCATTGGTTATTTGTAGACTTTTTAATGATGGCCATTCTGACCTGTGTGAGGTGATACCTCACTGTAGTTTTGATTTGCATTTCTCAAATAATTACCAATGTTGAGCATCTTTTCATGTGCCTGTTGACCATCTGTTTGTCTTCTTTAGAGAAATGTCTATTTAGGTCTTCTGCCGATTTTTCGATTGGGTTGTTTGGTTTTTTGTTGTTGAGCTGTATGAGCTGTTTGTATATTTTGGGAATTAATCCCTCGGTCACATCATTTGAAAATATTTTCTCCCAGTCCATAGGTCATCTTTTCGTTTTGTTTATGGTTTCCATGGCTGTACAAAAGATTGTGAGTTTGATTAGGTCCCATTTGTTTATTTTTGCTATTATTTCTGTTGCTTTGGAGACTGACCCTTTGTATGATTTATGTCAGAGAATGTTTTGCTTATGTTCTTTTCTAGGAATTTTATGGTGTCATGTCTTATGTTTAAGTTTTTAAGCCATTTTGAGTTTATTTTTGTGTATGGTGAGAGGGTGTGTTCTAACTTCATTGATTTACATGTGCCTGTCCAACTGTCCCAACACCACTTGCTGAAGAGACCGTCTTTTCCCCATTGTGTATTCTTGCCTCCTTTGTCAAAGATTAATTGTCCATAGTTGTGTGGGTTTATTTCTGGGCTCTCTAGTCCATTGATCCATATGTTTGTTTTTGTGCCAATACCATGCTGGTTTTTTTTTTTAAATAAATTTATTTTTGGCTGCGTTGGGTCTTCGTTGCTGCACATGGGCTTTCTCTAGTTGTGGCGAGCGAGGGCTGCTCTTTGTTGCAGTGCACGGACTTCTCATTGCAGTGGCTTCTTGTGGCACATGGGCTTAGTTGCTCTGTGGCATATGGGATCTTCCCAGACCAGGGCTTGAACCCGTGTCCCCTGCATTGGCAGGCGGATTCTTTTTTTTTTTTCGGTACGCAGGCCTCTCACTGCGGTGGCCTCTCCCGTTACGGAGCACAGGCTCCGGACGCGCAGGCTCAGCGGCCATGGCTCACGGGCCCAGCCACTCCACGGCATGTGGGATCTTCCCAGACTGGGGCACAAACCCGTGTTCCCTGCATCTGCAGGCAGACTCTCAACCACTGCGCCACCAGGGAAGCCCGGCAGGCGGATTCTTAACCACTGCACCAAGGAAGCCCCTACCATGCTCTTTTGATTACTGTAGCTTCATAGTATTGTCTGAAGTCTGGGAGGGTTATGTCTTCTGCTTCTTTCTTTTTCCTCAGGTTTGCCTTGGCAATTCTGGATCTTTTATGATTCCATGTAAATTTTAGGATTATTTGTTCTCACTCTATGAAAAATGTCATGGGTAATTTGATAGGTATCACATTAAATCTATAGATTTCTTTATGTTTTATAGCTTTCAGCACGTAAGTCTTTTACCTCCTTGGTCAGACTTATGCCTAAGTATTTTAATTTTTTGGTTGCAATTTTTAAAAGTTTTTTTTGTTTTAATTTCCTTATGATGTTTCATTGTTAGTGTAAAGAAATGCAACCAATTTCTCTATGTTAATCTTGTATCCTGCTACTTTGCTGAATTTGTTCATCAGTTCTAGTAGTTTTTGTGTGGAGTCTTCATGGTTTTCTAAATATAGTATCATGTCATCTGCATATAGTGAGAATTTTACCTCTTCTGTTCCAACTTGGATACCTTTTATTCTTTTTTCTTATCTGATTGCTGTGGCTAGGACTTCCAATATATGTTGAATAGAAGTGGTGAGAGTGGAGGAAGACTTTCAGCTTTTCACCGTTGAGTATTGTGTTGGCTGTGGGTTTGTCACAAGTAGCTTTTATTATGTTGAGATATGTTATTTCTATACCCACTTTGGTAAGAGTTTTTATCATGAATGGACGTTGAATTTTATCAAATGCTTTTTCTGCATCTCTTGAGATGAGCATGTGGTTTTTGTCTTTTGTTGATGTGGTGTTTCACATTGATGGATTTGCGTATGTTGAACCATCCTTGTGACCCTGGGATGAGTCCAACGTGGTCGTGGTGTATGATCTTTTTTATGTGTTCTTGGATTGGGTTTGGTAATATTTGGTTGAGAATTTTTGCATCTGTATTCATGGAAGATATTGGCCTCTAATTTTCTTTTTTGGTGGTGTCTTTGTCTGATTTTGGTATCAGGGTGATGGTGGCTTCATAGAATGTCTTTGGGAGTGTTCCCTCCTTTTCAGCTTTTGGAAGAGTTTGAGGAGGATAGGTGTGCATTCTTTGTGTGCTTGGTAGAATTCCTCAGTGAAGCCACCCAGTCCTGGGAGTTTTTGTTTTGTTTTTGTTTTTGTTTGTTTGTTTTTTGCCACACCATGCAGCTTGTGGGATCTTAGTTCCCCAAGAAGGGATTGAACCTGGGCCCTGGCAGTGAAAGCGCCAAGTCCTAACCACTGCACCGCCAGGGAATTCCTTGCAAGGAGCTTTTTCTTTTTTTTAATTAATTACTTAATTTATTTATTTATTTATGGCTGTGTTGGGTCTTCATTTCCGTGCGAGGGCTTTCTCTAGTTGTGGCAAGCGGGGGCCACTCTTCATCGCGGTGTGCAGACCTCTCACTATCACGGCCTCTCTTGTTGCGGAGCAGAGGCTCCAGACGTGCAAGCTCAGTAATTGTGGCTCATGGGCCCAGTTGCTCCGCGGCATGTGGGATCTTCCCAGACCAGGGCTCAAACCCGTGTCCCCTGCCTTGGCAGGCAGATTCTCAGCCACTGCACCACCAGGGAAGCCCAGGGAGCTTTTTTATTACAGATTCTAAATTAACTTCTAGTAATTGGTCTGTTTAAGTTTCCTATTTCTTCTTGTTTCAATTTTGGTGAGCTGTATGTTTCTAGACACTTGTCCATTTCTTCTAGGTTGTCAAATTTGTTGACATATAATTGTTCATAGTATTCTCTTATGGTCTTTTGTATTTCTGCAGTATCAGTTGTTATTTTTCCTTTTTCATTTCTTATTTTATTTATTTGGGACCTCTCTCTTTTCTTCTTGGTGAGCCTAGCCAGAGATTTGATGATTTCCTTTTATATTATGCTTGTGTTCTCTTCTTTTTGGGTTTTGGGAATCTGTTGTATGTTTTCGATTTGTGGTTACCCTGTTTTTCAAGTATGTTAACCCATAGTTATATCTACTTGCTTTAGACTGATAGTCATTAGGGGCTCAAACACATTCTAAAAGAAAAAAAATCGACATTTTCTAACTCCTCTCGCCCACGTTTTATGATGTTGATGTCCTCTTTTACATCTTCATCTCGCCCACGTTTTATGATGTTGATGTCCTCTTTTACATCTTCATCTCGCCCATGTTTTATGATGTTGATGTCCTCTTTTACATCTTCATAGTTATCCTTTTGTCATTCATTGTGGCTATTGTTGCTGTCACAAACATTTTTTACATTTTTTTTTAACCTGTATACTGGCTTATTTAAGTGATTTACTTTCCAGTTGTGATTTTTCTCTTTCCTATAGCTTCTCGCTTCTTTTCTATCTAGAGAAGACTTTTCAATATTTCTTTTAGGATAGGTTTAGTATTGCTGTGTTCTTCTAGTTTTTGCTTGTCTGAGAAATTCTTTTTCTCTCCCTCTATTCTAAATGGTAATCTTGCTGGATAGAGTATCCTGGGTTGCAGATTTTTCCCTTTCAGGACTTTGAATATATCTTGCCACTCCTTTCTGGCCTGCAGCGTTTCTGTAGAGTAATCAGCTGATCGTCTTATGGGGGCTCCCTTATAATTAACTCTTTATTTTGATTTGTTTCATTTTTTTTTTTTTTTTTGGCACGCGGGCCTCTCACTGTTGTGGCCTCTCCCGTTGCGGAGCACAGGCTCTGGATGCGCAGGCTCAGCGGCCATGGCTCACGGGCCCAGCCGCTCCGCGGCATGTGGGATCTTCCCGGACCGGGGCACGAACCCATGTCCCCTGCATCGGCAGGCAGACTCTCAACCACTGCGCCACCAGGGAAGCCCCTGTTTCATTTTTTAAAACACCTTTATCAAGCCATAATTTACATACCATACAATTCCCTCACTTAAAGCGTTCAATGTTTTTGATATATTACATCATTAATTTTAAATTTTTTCGTAAAATGTTTATAACAAAATTTGCCATTTTAGCCATTTTTAAGTGCACAGTTCAGTGACATTAAGTACATTCACAGTGCTGTGCAACCATCACCACCATCCAAAACTTTTTTTATCATCGCGAACAGAAACTGTGACCATTAAGCAATTACTCCCCGTCCCCCCCACCCTCCTGATGACCTCTAATCTTTCTGTCTCTCTGGATCTGACAATTTAGCTGTTTCATGTAAGTGGAATCAGGATGGGGTCTGTTGTGGCTGGCCTCTCTCATAGCATTGTGTTGGTGAGGTCCACCCAGCTGTGGCAGGTGTCAGTGCTTTGCTCCTTTTAAGGCTAAGTAGCATCCACCGTGTGGACAGACCACACTGCGTTCCTCCATTCATCCGTCCACGGACTCTTGGGTTGTTGCCACCTTCTAGCTGTTGTGCATAGGGATGCTGAGGACGATGGTGTGCAGGGATGCGTTTGAGTCCTGCTTCACTTCTTTCGGGTAAACACTCAGGAGTGGAATTGCTGTGTCCGTCCTACAGTAACACATGTGCAGCTTGTTGAAGTCACCAAACTGTGTTCCACGTGGCTGCACTGCTTTGCATTCCTACCAGCAATGTACAAGGGATCCAGTTCCTCTGCATCCGTGAGCTGGTATCTCCCTGTGGTTTTGACTTGCATTTTCCTGAGGATTAGTGATTAGTGATGCTGAGCACCTTTCTCTGTGCTGGTCACAGATACTTTATACAATGAAACATTGAACTTGCACGAGTCAGGACAGTTTTGCTAGAGTGTGTGCAGACAGCCAGAATGGCTCCAGGTGCCTGTTCTATTACACAGGAAGATTAGAGGCTCCGATCACTTACCCAGGGAGTGATGAGAGGCCCGTCCCTCCCTACTTTCTCAGCAGGGGCCCCAGAGGGATGGCCTCACTTTTCCCTCGGGAGCCTGGTCACTTGAGGTCTGCAGGATATGTCCAAGGAGGTGGGAAGGGGTGGTGTCCCGGTGCAGCAGGGCTGTCACAGCTTCCTCCAGGCCCAGAAAGGCCCCGGTCCCCTGAGTGCACCATCCAGGTGAGAGCACCCAGCTCAGGTTAAGTCACTGCCCATAAGCAGGCACGTGCCCTCGGTTGCCCCAGGCTCGCCCTGACCGTCGGGCGCTCCCTCTGCACATTGCTCGTCTCTGATTGTGGGTGTTTCGTCTAGAAGACGGAGTTCTGTGTGCTTTGTGTAGTTGGGATAAAGCACTGACCCTGCTGTTGAGGCTCCAAGGATGTGACCGTATAGGTGTTTGCCCAGGAGCCTGCCTGGGAACAGCCCCACCTGCCCCGCTGCTGGCGCCCCACAGGTGATCAGCTCAGGCCCTGGGCGCTTGTGCGCACCTGCCCTGGGCCAGAACCCTGGTGGAAGGGAGAGGGAGCAGGTCTGGTTGGCCCCCAGCCCCTCACTGGTGCTCAGGAATGACAGGGGGGGCCCCGGGGAGGGGGGTAGATGGAAGGGGAGGGGAGGGGCGGATGAAAGAATGAAACTTACCTCCCAGGTGAGTTCCAGTGACGTAGAGGAGAACCCGAAGCCGAGGCAGCGCGGCTGCTCCTCGTCCAGCGCTGGCTACTTTGGGAGCCCGCGGGGTGCGATGTAACCCGAGCCCCCGTGGGTGGGATCCTGCCCGACTAAACTGGAACGGGCATCGGAATCCTTGGGTCCAATCAGAACATGATAAAAACAGAGGCCTGTTGCTGCTCCCCGGGTCACATGCGACATGAAGCTCACCTCTTCCCTGCAGTGGGTGAGGTGGGTAGAGGCACGCACGTCACCTTCTTGGACATAGGCGGCCAGTGCCCAGCCCAGCCAGGAGGTCCCACACAGGAGGCCGCAAACGTGCCACAGGGCTGAGGCGGGGCTGCAGGACCTGCCGTGGCCAGTGGAGGGTCCGGCCTGAGCCCGGAGGACAGGGGTTGAAGCAGCGAGACCTAGGGTGCTAGCATCTCGTTCCAGGCCCGAGATGGGGATGCAGAGCTGCCAGAGCACCGGAGCGGGCTCTGGGGCCTCTGTGTGCCCGCACGGGGGCCTGGGCTGCCGCGGGCCCCACGCGCGTGCAGGCCGCTCACCCTCCTCTGCCTGCAGGTGCGCCAGGCAGTGGCGCGTGTGGTCGGGGGCTGGCTGCTGCACCTGCGGGACCGCTACTCATTCTTGCACAAGCTCATCCCGCTTCTCCTGAGCAGCCTCGACGACGAGATCCCCGAGATCGCGTAAGTGGCAACGTGGCGGACAGGCCGAGGTTCTGGGTGCCAGGGCAACACGTCCCGCCCCAGAGCCGCCGTGCTGCACGCCTCCCTCCTGCTCGCCTCACCGGGCGCTGGCTTTTCCTAAGCTGTTGTTTACGGCGGTGGTGGTTTCCTTTGGTCCAGAGTCTTGTGGGAGCCACCGTGTCCCCGCATCCCGTGTGCTTGGAGGCCATGGGACTTTGACAGTACAGTTTTGCATCTTTAGCACTTTGCTTGGGTTAGTGATGGAGGCGTGGCAGACTCACTGGTGAGCTCCCTCGGGCAGAGACCCGGCCGCCCCCCCGAGGGCGCCCCCTGACCCGGGTCTGTGTTGTGCGGCAGGTGCGAGGCAGCCGGCCTCTGGGAGCAGGTCGGGCTGCACTGGCAGATGGAGAACGAGGAGGACCTCAAGGACAAGCTGGACTTCGCTGGCCCGCCCCCCGCACACCACCCCTCGCCAGGTGAGCGCGGCCAGCCCAGGCCAGCGGTGCAGCAGGGCGAGTCCCGGAGGTAGAGCCGGACGGCGGGAAGGGCCTCCCTCGGGGTCCTGGGCGGGCCTCCCTGGGTACGTGAGGGCGCGGCCATCCGAGGAGCGTGAGCCTGATGGGGAAACGTTGGAAATGGGTGGTGCTTTGTCATCTCACAAAGCTGTTCTGTGAGCTTCACCTGGAGAAGCAAACACACAGGTAGCCGGTGAGATGCAGTCCTCGTGTTCCGGGTGATGCTACCCTCAGAACAGAGCCTCCCGTTGCTGGACCTCCCGTCCTGCCCCTTGTCGTGGTTCTCTGCCAGACCGTGAGCGCCCGCGTGTGCGTGTGTGTGCGCGGGCATGCCATGTGTTCCCTTAGCTCTTGAGTCAGATCCGGGCTGCATTTCCAAGGAAGCCCCCTGCCCGCCGGGCTGCGGCCCCCCTCTTTGCCCCTCAACCCCACACGTGTCTAGTTTCTTCTGCTCTGGAAACACTTTCTGTCTAGGAACGAAGTCCCTTCCACTGAACTTGATCGGACGCCTGTATCACTGCAGTCTGTCTGCAGGTGTCTTCTTACAGTGGAGTGATGGTGGAGTGCCGCTGGCAGGGACAAAGCCTAGTATACATGCACCAGGTCAGACAGGCAGCACCATGGGAGGGACCGGGACCTGGGCCCGCAGGCCCCTCCAGCCCTGGTCAGGTGAAGTCAGGCTCGGACGGCCACCCTGGAGGGGACGCCTTGCACGAAGGGCAGCATGAAGACAACTGCTCATGCCTCGTGTGCACCCGCTGCTGTTCACTGTGAGACCCAGAAGGCGGCTCCTCCCCCATACCTGGGAGGCCCGTGTTTTTTTTTTTTTCGTCCACATGTTTATTCATGCAGCTTCACCTCCCATGCCGCACAACTGCTATGAGGGGAAATCACTCACGTTTTGGAAAAGGTACAAAAATTAGTTGCCAGCAGGGTTTTTTCTGATTTAGTAAAGTTTGAGAATGCACCATCTTTTAAATTATCATGTCTGCCGTATCAAGTACAGGAAAGGAGGCTTCAGAGCCATCTTCAGAGTGAGGCGCGCATCTCTGGAAATGCCTCTCAGGCCGTGTGCCCGCCTGTCAGTGGACCACTCCCCAGACGATCCTAACCTGTCCCCTCATCCCACAAACTTTCCACAAGGGACATGTCGTCAGGAAGAAAAGGGCATTTATTGTTTTCCTTTTTGTTTTTTACAAAATTGTAACAAGCTCACTTAAACCACCAGCAGAATCTGAAACATTTAGAACTAATTCTCTCATATACCATAAAAAGAGAAAAGTAACAGGAACAAAAATTCAAAGTGAGGCCTCATGGTACAAGCTGTTCTTTTTACTAAAACACGCTTTAAACTTTGACATGTCACGGTCTCATTTCTATCTCTAGAGTTGTTTTGAGTCTTTAAGGTCAAAATCTTGTAATCAAAATCCTCGAAGGCTTTTTTATAGAAATTGAGAAACTTATCCTGAAATTCACAAGGAAACGTAAAGGACCTAGCACAGCCAAAACTTTGAAGACAAAGGCCCAGGTTGAAAGATGAGTACGTCTGGTTTTAAGACATAAAACGCAGTAATCAAGATGGTGAGGTTATGAACATAAAAACAGACTGACATGGACTTCCGTGGTGGCGCAGTGGTTAAGAATCTGCCTGCCAATGCAGGGCGCACGGGTTCGATCCCTGGTCCAGGAAGATCCCACATGCCACGGAGCAGCTAAGCCCGTGTGCCACAACTACTGAGCCTGCGCTCTGGAGCCCGCGAGCCACAGCTACTGAACCCGTGTGCCACAACTACTGAATCCCACGCACCTAGAGCCCGTGCTCCACAACAAGAGAAGCCACTGCAATGAGAAGCCCATGCACCGCAATGAAGAGTAGCCCCCACTCACCACAACTAGAGAAAGCCTGTGCGCAGCAACGAAGACCCAATACAGCCAAAAATAAATTAAAAAAATAAAAAATCAGACCGATAGACCAGTGGAACAGAGCAGAGTCCAGAAACAGACACAGGCATGTGGACTCTGAATTTTGGCAAGTTGCAAAGACAAGGGGAGAAAAGACGTCTCAGCAATGGTGCTGGAATCACTGGATGTGCAAAAAAAGTGGGCTTGGATCCAACCATCCTGATAAATGAAAATTAACCCCAAATGCCATGTGGATCTAAGAGTACGACCTAAATACACTCCACAAAAGAATGACTGATAAATTGCTTTTCATCAAAATGAAAACTTCTGCTCTTTGAAAGACATTAAGAGAATGAAACGACAGGGCACAGACTGAGACGTTTGCAAATTGTCTACATAAGGATTTGTGTCCAGAGCACAGAGAGAACTCTCAAACTCAATATCAAGAACACAATCCAGTTTTTTAGTGGCAAAAGAAGTTTGAAAAGACACTTAACTGAGGATACACAGATGTCAAACAAGCCCATGAGTCAGTGCTCCAGGGCATTGCTCGTGAGGAGAATGCACATCAAAGCCACAAGGAGATGCCCCTCCCTGCCTGGAGGCTTGACCTAGGACTGCCCGTGCCAGGTGTGGAGGAGCTTCAGGCCTCGTGCACGGCTGGGGAGGGCAGACAGCAGTGCAGCAGCGTTGGAAAACCGCTCGGCCATTTCTTAATCAGTATAGTGCCCACCTTCCATGTGCTTAGCCGTGGCGCTCCAGGGCGCCCACCCGAGAGAAGTCTCGTCGGCGACAGCCCACGGCAGAACCGCTCAGACGTCCATCGGCCGGTAGACAGACAGACTGTGGTCTGTCCGTGTGCTGGAACGCTGCTCAGCAGTGAGCAGGGGCCGGCGCCCCCCACCACTTGCTGGGCCTCGGAGCGGAGGAAGCCAGGCAGAGAGGAGCGTGTGCTGCGCAGCTGCACTCACAGAAAATCGGGAAATTGCGGCTCCCCATAGCGACAGGAAGCCGACCGGGGCTGCCCGGGGGCAGGGGAGGGCATCGTCGGGAGCACAGGGACCTTCTGGGTGGCAGGTGCGCGTTACCTTGATGGCCGTGATGGTTCACAGTGGTATCCATCTGTCAGAACTTCAGGGTTGTGCCCTTCGAGCATGTAGTTTACTGTGAGTCACACCTCAGGATCGCTGTAAAGACTTAAAGTAAATTATGACACTTCGTGGCGTCATTTCTGTCTTCAGAGTTGGTTTGAGTTTTTTAAGACCTCAAAATAAAACCCGTAGGTGTGCCTTAAGTGAGGAATGTGTAGTAAGTGACTTCGTATGTGAATCGTTGAGATCTTGTTGGTAAATTTCACGGGTTCCCATCCATCTTTATGACCCACAGGGAGCCGCCCGGGGCTGGGCTGCCGGGAGCTGGTGTTCAGAAACCTCTCCAAGATCCTTCCCGCCATCTGTCACGACATCACCGACTGGGTGGTGGCGACCAGGGTGAAGTCGGCACAGCTGCTGGCGGTACTGCTGCTGCACGCGGAAGGCCACATCACGCAGCACCTGGAGCCCGTCCTGCGCACCCTGCTCCACGCCTGTGCCGACGAGGAGAAGGCCGTGGTCCGCAGTGTGAGTGGCATTCCGCTGTCCTCAGGGGCTGCATGCACCCTTCCTAGTTCTGCAGTGTGTGAACTTGGACACGTATCAGCAGTCACGCAATCGCCCCTGTGTGAAGGTGTAGATGTTTCCGTGGCCCCCGGGCTCTCCCCAGCCTTCTGCATCCAGCCTTCGTGCCCATAAAAAAGGCGTTTAACGGTTCTCTTTAAATTAAGCATGTGCAGGTGAGCGGCCCTGTGTCTGAAGGTAAACATATCCTCCACCCGCAGGCCACTGCAGTGGTCACTGCTCGGACAGACGTGCAGAGCCGCCCCCATGAGTCCAGCTCAGGCAGCCGGGCCTCAGAGAGGACGCTCTGACAGCCGTGCCCACGCCAAATGGCATGAACTCCTTCCCCGGGCACTTCTGAGCTCATGAGGGGACTCACCAGTTTTCGTGGGTGTTTGAGCACATTAGGAAGAGACGGGCCTGCAGGGCTGCTTCTGGCAGGTGAAAGCGGGCGCGACAGACGCAGAGCAGCGAGGGGCTGAGAGGGGCGGCAGCCTCAGGCCTCCTCCATCTGCCCTCAGTGCACGAGATCTGCAGAGCTGATCGGGACCTTCGTCAGCCCGGAGGTGTTTCTGAAGTTGATCTTGTCGATGCTGAGGAAGTCTCCCTCCCCCTCCGGCCTCCTGGTCTTTGCCTCCATCATCCGAGGCTGCCCGAGGGAGGCCCTCCGGCCGCACGTGAAGGTCATCGCCGTGGAGTTGGCCCACGCTCACATCTGCCAGGGGTCTGAAAATGTAAGCATGCGCGGGAGAGGGTGGGGCTGGGGGGATCGTAGAGTCCACCCATCTCCATGGTGACTCGGTCCCCTGTGGGACCATCCACACATAGCAGTTGTCAGTCCCACAGGCCTCTCGGGGACATCTGACCGGCGTGGTAGCTGGGATGCAGCCCTGATGTCCTCCTGTTTGGACCCACGTGTCTCCTGGCCCGTTCTTCTCCATCCACCATGGCGGCCGTTTAAAGTAAAATGAAACAAAGTGCAAAGGCAGTTCCTCTGTCACGCTGGCCGCATGTTGAGTGCACAGTAGCCCGTGTGGCCAGCACTGGGCGGTGTCAGATAGAGCGCGTCCATCGTCGAGGGCAGTTCGCTCTATGGGTGGCGCTGCTGTGGGTGGTCTCAGCTGGAGACCCCCACCCCCACCCCACCCACCCCCAGAGAACCTGTGAATCCACGCCCCATCTCTTGGTCCATGTCGCACGCGGTGTCTCCATGGCGAGCTTATTCTTACCCCGGTCACTTGGCTTCTAACGGGGCTTCCAACAGGCAACCTGATCTGGCAACCGTTATTGGGAGCTCTGCTTGGTGGTTACAGATTTGTTTTGTCTTAAATTGAGCAGTAAATCCATTACATCTGAAGCTGAAACAATGTAGGTAGTTAGGCTTAGTCATTTGGAATAATTTACAATTGTTTGCTGTTGAAGGAAAAATAACGACCTTGTTTTCATGTGGCTGTGATGGGCTTAAACCCTGAGTCTTTGGATTGGCCAGTCACCCTCCCATCTCTCTGTAGAGCAACGAGGGTTTGCCTCGCCAGGCGTCTGCCCCATGCACTGCAGGCCCCCTGGGCCATGGGAAGCTGGCCCCGCACAGCTGACACTTGACAGTGGCTGCCCTGGCCACAGAGCTGGACCACAGGGGTGCCCAGCTACCGCTCAGCTGCCGGGAGATGCACTTCCACACCTGCATCTGGCCTTAACTCTGACATACGTTCACAGTCGTGTGGGAACCATCTTAAGCCTATAAGGCAGCTTCTGAAACACAGATGGGGGGGATGGAACAGAGGTCTTGGAGGGGGGACGTTCGTGGGCTTTTTCACCTGCTCCTGGTGTTTTCAACCATAATTCAACTTTTCCCAAAACCCATTTTTAAGATAAACTATGATCATCTAAAAATGTGGAAAAAAGTTCCACATTTTTACTCAACTGGTTCCAACAAGGATTTTCATTCCAGAAGCATTTCTGTTCTAGAAGGTGCAGCTTGAAAGTTTGTGTAGGTGTTTCAGTACACGTGTTGCAAGCTGTACAGCAAAGGAAACGTCTTTTCACACCTGAGTGTTGTTACAGGAAACCTTGGTCCCTCGATCCATCTAGTTCAGAGCGCACACTTGGTTCCTCTTCCTCCAGTCCTTCCAGGAAAGATTTACTCGGTCCTGCAAACAGAGGGGCCCCTTCCTGACAGTTCCATCCACACACGTTTCTCTAGACACGTTCCAGCCTTTGGCCAAGGGACCAGCCGTGCGACCCCAGTCGTGCGACCCACTCCCATCCTCGCACGCCTGTGGCCAGGATGCACGGCCTCCGCACAGGGAGGGGTCGTCCTAGTGTTTCCTACAGTCGTTCTCCAGGGACTGTGAGGACAGGCCTCAAATGCTTCAAGACCAAACTAAATGTAAAGCCCCGGCTTGAGCCAACAGGGCCCCAGAGACGCTCTGCTCGTCTGCCTGGGTCTGGGCTCAGCTGACAGGACCTGAGCCTCTGCTTTGAAATCTGGCTGTTTATCGACAGGGGACTGAGATGCAGAAACGGTTGATAAAACAGAAGTAACTCGTTTCCTCCTGTTTACTCAGGAATTGGGTGTGGGGTCTGGGATGGGAGTGCCTGGAGCCTTCTCCGGTGAAGTTGTGGCATCTCCCTCTGTGTCAGTTCCCTCTGTGTCTTGTTTTCTTTCTCTCTGTGTGTGTGTGTGTGTGTGTGTGTGTGTGTGTGTGTGTGTGTGTGTAGGTAGGTAGGTGTTGAAAATCCTCTGGTTAAATATCGTGAAATCCGTGAACATTAGGCCCCGTTTCCTCAGAGGTGGTGCCATGTTCACAGCAGGAGGGCAGTGCTTGCGAAGGACACAGACCTTTGGTTGGTCCCAGCATCTGGAGGTGTCGTGAGGTGGCTCAGCCGCTGCTGAGAGCGGCTCCCTGTTGGTTTGTTTTTTAATTTTTAAAATTTATTTATTGTTGTCTGCATCGCATCTTCATTGCTGCGCACGGGCAGCGAGCGGGGGCTGCTCTTCATTGCGGTGCGCGGGCTTCTCATTGCAGTGGCTTCTCTTGTTGCGGAGCACGGTTTCTAGGTGTGTGGGCTTCAGTAGTTGTGGCGCGTGGGCTTCAGTAGTTGTGGCACGCGGGCTCAGTAGTTGTGGCGCACGGGCTCTAGAGCGCAGGCTCAGTAGTTGTGGCGCACAGGGTTAGTTGTTCCTTAGCATGTGGGATCTTCCCGGACCAGGGCTCGAACCCGTGTACCCTGCACTGGCAGGTGGATTCTTAACCACTGCACCACCAGGGAAGTCCCAATCCCTGTTTATTTTAATTGAAAGAATGGTAGCTCCTTAAATATGTACTGTAGGTCATTTAGAAATTAGCCAAAGTCATGCCCTCAGAAAAATCAATCAATCAGTCAATCCAGGTCTGAGAGAAATGGGGCTGCGGGAAAAGTAAGTGTTTGAATAAAACACCAATTGTGGCTTCTCGGGGGAGTTAGGACCCCTGAGTGGCTGGGGACATGCCACAGTGAATTTTTTGTTTAAACTTCTATGATTTATATCATTTGTGAATGAGTCGTAGGATTTTAGAGCTGATTCAGAATTTAGAACCAATCCATTGTCTAGCCAAATCTTCACCAAACTTTTGAGCTCACACCCCCAATAGTAAAAAAAAAAAAAACCTTAAGCATTTTGCCCTGGTTCCCTCTGTCCTTTATGAAACATAGCAGAGCAGGCGTGTGGGAGGGGTGTTCTAGGCGGTTCTTCCTCTGGGGCCCCCACCCCGTGCCCACTCCTGGCCCCCATTTCACAGTGGATGAGGCTGGAGGCTGGGAGGTGAGAGAAGGGCTCGACCCAACCGAGGTGTCACCTTGACCCCCGGCAGTCTGGAAGCATCTTTGAATCACAGAATTTTATTTTTCTTAACTTAGTATTATAGAAACACTCAGAAGTGCACAGAAGGGGAGGGGAGCAGTGTGCACCCCTCGTGCCTGCCGCCCGGTTCCAGCCACGTCCCCCTCGGTCCAGCTTCTCTCTGACTTTGGGGGTGGGGTGGGAAGAGCTGGGGTACTGAGAGCAAATCCAGATGCCCTGTCCTTCCACTTGTCACTACTACAGTGTGTGTCACTAACACGTGCAAACTTTTTAAAATGTAACTCAAATACCATTAAGCACTTAACAGAGTTGCCGTGAATTCCTTGATTCTCAGGGATTCAGCAGGGATTCGGTTTCCCTGTTGTGCAGAGGGACGCCCTCTTTATGGCTGATGTGCCAGAATCCTGGCCCAGTCCACTCGCGGGGTCGCCATGGCTCCATGGCCCTGGTCGGCGGGGCCTCGTCTGGGCGGCCGAGCGGGTGCAGGGGTCGCTGACGGTGCCCTGCTCTCTCCACAGCGACTGTACGGGGAGCGCCTGCTGCAGTGCGTGCAGGCCGTGGTGTCCGTGAGCCGGGAGGACTGCCGAGGGGCCGGCGTGCCGCTCATGGAGGTGCTGGTGACTGTCCTGGCGCTGTGGGGACCCACGGGGCTTGGTGCCAAGGTGAGGGGGTCCTCCTGCTTTGCCTCAGCCCCTGGACGGGAGGCTTCCATCTGTCAGTCTCTGCTGTCAAACTCCAAGCCTCGGGCTTGCCCAGCGAACTGGCTACCTAAGATGAAAGAGTCTAGAACATGCGGGGTGATTCGTTCTCTAGGCGGCCTCAGGGGTACAGGGGATTTTAAATTCCCTCCAACTGCCCATTGGCTTCAGGATCTCAGAGTGAGGCCGGCTGCTTAATCTTGGAGAAACAGGCAAGAAACGAGGCCTCCCTCGTCTTAAATGTGCATTTGAGTGAGGTTAGGAATACACACATGCACCGGAGGTCAGGAGAGAAAATAATATGATGATTGTCCTAGTTGGTTGCAGCCCAGCTTTACACAATTGTTTCCATTCCCCTGGCTCTGTATTTTTTTTTCAAATTCTTTTCTCCATTGAACTTCCTTGCTTCTTTATTGTTTTGGCCGTGCCGCACGGCATGTGGAATCTTAGTTCACCAAACAGGGATCGAACCTGCATCCCCTGCATTGGAAACACGGAGTCTTAACCACTGGACCTCCCGGGAGGTGCCCCCCGCCCCGGGCTCTGTATTTAACTTAAAATCTTCTGACATCCAGCTCCCTGCAGCTGCGAGGACCATCCAGAGACCTGGCTGTCTGACCACTTCTCCCCCTGTTTCTGTCTCCCCCTCTCCATCCACACTGTGTCCAGGAGGCTCCCCGCCTGCCCTCCCCTTCCCCGCGGCCTTCGTAAACTGTGTTTTCTTTCTCTCTTAAAAAAACCCCTTTCCGGAGGGCACGTGTCCGATCAGGGAGGTCATCACTGTAGGGCTGTAAATACTAGAAAAGCCGAGTCTGTCATTACGGGTGAGTCTGCAGGCCAGACTGGGGCCCCGGGACAGCTACACAGCGTGCTGGGGGCGTCCTGTTCCTGAAGCCCTGGGGGAGGAGGGTCCGGTCCTCCGTCTCCTCTGTGCCCGCAGAGCAGCAGACACCCTGTCCCCGGAGGTCTGGTCAGGTGAAGCACTCTGAGAGCGAGGACGTGGGCCCATCTTTGGCACCCGTGGTTTAAGTCTGTTCAGTGCCGGCCCTGAAACCGCCTGCTCCCACTTCTCCATAGATGGAGCCTGGCTGGGACTCCAGGGTGAGCCTCCCACCCTGCAGGGACTGCCCTGCCCCGGGTGGTGCCTCATGGAGGGTGGGGGGACTGTGCCTGAACTGCCTGTCCATTGTTTGTCCATTTCATTATTTCTCATACAGACAGGAGGGGCGTCGCGGGAGCCCCGGGCCACGTGGCGTGTGCCCGAGTGGCTCTCCCTCCCTCAGGTGGTGAGGACGGGTCTCCAGTGGGGTCTGTGAGTCCCAAGATCGGATTGTCCCAGCCTGTCACTTGCTCCCCCAGGTTCAGGAGGCGCTGGCCGAGCTGGCTGCGGTGGAGAGCGTGGACGGCAGCCAGGACCTCTTCCGAGCGCACGTGGGCGCCCTCCTGGAGCGGCTGGCTGCCTCGCACCGGGACTGGACCGGCCACTCCACGGGGTTCCTGCAGTTTGACGTGGTGCTTGCTCACTCAGGTGGGCCTCAGACGGGCGCCCCGGGTGGGGTTCGGAGCGCTGGTCCCGTGGTGGCCCCAGCAGCCCCGGCACAGACGGGCACAGCTGCTCAGCACCACCCAGGAGGCGGCACGCCAAGGCCTGGTTCTTCAGAGTCACTCACGGTCACTCTCAGCCTGCGGAGAACAGCTGTTTTAAGGAACAAAACCTTAATTTAAAAGATGCTGCGAACTCTGTAGTGAAGACTTGCTGTAACGTGGGTCTTTAAAGTCTGCCCAGGCACACATTTTTATGTTAAACCTTTTTTTTTTGGAAGAATTAGTTCAAGAGGGTGACATAGGACCAATGTGCGTTTTTAATTTTGTTTATTTATTTATTTGGCTGTGTCGGGTCTTAGTTGCGGCACGCGGAATCTTTCGTTGCAGCACGTGGGCTCTTCATTGCAGCACACAGGCTTCTCTGGTTGTGGCACATGGGCTTCTCTCTAGTTGTGGTGCATGGGCTCAGTAGTTGCGGCATATGGGCTGCAGAGCGCGCGAGCTCAGTAGTTGTGGCGCGTGACCTTAGTTGCCCTGAAGCATGTTCATTCCTGGACCAGGGATCGAACCTGCGTCCTCTGCATGGGAAGTCAGATTGTTTTTTGTTTTTTGGGTTATTTTTGCGGTACGCGGGCCTCTCACTGCCGTGGCCTCTCCCGTTGCGGAGCCCAGGCTCCGGACGTGCAGGCTCAGCGGCCATGGCTCACGGGCCCAGCCACTCCGCGGCACGTGGGATCTTCCTGGACCGGGGCACGAACCCGCGTGCCCTGCATTGGCAGGCAGACTCTCAACCACTGCGCCACCAGGGAAGCCCGGGAAGGCAGATTCTTAACCACTGAGCAACCAGGGAAGTCCCTATGTTAATTAAACCTTGAAAGCGTGACTTTGCGTGGCGTCCTGTGTGGCCCATGCTCTTCAGTGGCGTCCCCGTGCTCTTCCCCCAGGTGCTGCCTACCCTCTGTGCCCGCTTGGCCTCCCGTCCCGGGGGTTAGGGTAGGACCGGCAGGGCAGCAGGACTCCGAGCTCACGGTCTTGCATGCCATGCTTCTGGCCACAGTGCACCCTGGCAGCAGCAGAGCTTCGGGCTACAGTGGACCCTCCAGTCACGCTTGTTTTGCTTTGACCCTGGGCTTTGAGGTGATGCCTCTGAAAAGACTGAAGTCCTGACTGAGTACAGAAGTAGCAGACCGAGAGTAAACCAGAGGGCCTGAGGGTGACGGCTTCACTTCTGACACACGATGTCCCGGGTCAGCACAGGGCCTGGCGGGGAGGGCAACTGGTGACCCGATTCTTCTGAGCTGCGGCTCACGTCTAGACCCCGGAGACTGTGTTCTCCCCATCACGTGTAGGTCCGGGTCCTGAGCACCGTCACTGCATCTGGGATCCTTCCAGGCTCGGGGACAGTGGCACAATTTGTTCATCTAGTAACAGGCATGGGAAAGGATGCTGGCTGCCAAGCTCAGGGTCAGACATCAAGCAGCCTACATGGTCTGAATGTTGGGTTTTGGTTGACCTTTAAAAGATTGCTTGGGGACTTCCCTGGTGGCGCAGTGGTTAAGAATCTGCCTACCGATGCAGGGGATACAGGTTCAAGCCCTGGTCCAGGAAGATCCCACGTGCCGCGGGCAACTAAGCCCGTGCGCCATAGCTAGTGAGCCTGCGCTCGCGAGCCACAACTACTGAGCCCACGTACCACAACTACTGAAGCCCACGCGCCTAGAGCCCGTGCTCCACAACAAGAGGAGCCACGACAATGAGAAACACGTGCACCACAACAAAGACCCAGCACAGCCAAAAATAAATAAATTTTAAAAATAAATTAAAAAAAAAAGTTTGCTTGACTTTAAATTTTTTTAAGAATTTGGTAAGATGTAGGGAAAAAAAGAAAGCTTACATACCAAACGATTAGAGCCATGGTGGAGGGAGGGTCAAAGGGAGAGGCGGAACCTGGCGTCCTGTGCTGAGAGCATCCTTCCCAGAGCTGAGGGTGCATGTCCGCTGGCCGTGCCCAGCATGCACCTCCGCTCGCGGCCAGAGTGGCTGCGGGGCTCCGTCCTCCCATCCTCCTGCCACATAGGAATGAGGCCCCTGTCTGTGCTCTAGGCCCTGCCCTCGGAGAAGCCTTGCCCCAGCTGGTCCCCATCCTCAGGAGCTGCCTCCAGCCAGCCCGGGACCCACCCATGCGCCTGAAGCTCTTCTCCACCCTGTCGGGGCTGCTGCTGGGAGCCCGGGAGACGGTGGACTCGCAGGGGTAGGTCGGCTCCACCCACACGTGGTCTGCCATGCTGCCCCCCACGCGGTCCCCCCATGCTGCCCCCCACGCGGTCCCCCCATTCTGCCCCCATGCGGTCCCCCCATTCTGCCCCCCACGCAGTCCCCGCCATGCTGCCCCCCACGCGGTCCCCCATGCTGCCCACCACGCAGTCCCCCCATGCTGCCCCCCACGCTGTGCTGTGGCTGAGTGGTCCCCACGTGCCCCCGCACTGAGGTCTCAGGTGGGACCTGGGGTGACCCTGAGCTCTGGGTCCTGCTGTCGTGTGACTCCCCACACAGCCAGCGCCCCAGGGAAACGGCGTAGTCCCCGCAGCGAGTGCACCGCATAGAGAGACACTAAATCAGTCGCGTTCTTGTGGTCCTTAAAATTCCGTTGAATGAAAAAGTTTTAGGGAACGTTAACTACTAATGGTTTATACATTAGCTGTTCTCAGCTTTAAAAGGCTTCTGGTACCTTTCAGGCCTCACAGAGAATTGATTGAATGACCGTTAAGGTTAGAACTTAGGAAACTCCTCTCCTCCGGAGGGACTTGAGGCAGCATAAACACCCGGGCCTCCAGCTTGGGGCTCCGAAGGGAAGGAGGCGGGCGGCCCAGGCTGGACGGGAGGCGGCCGGAGCAGAGCCATCAGCAGGCCCCACCCTCTCCCTTTGCAGAGCGACACAGCGTCCTGGCAGGATGGGCTGTGGGGCTTCAGGCAGTGAGATGCTGTTTGCTCTTTCGGGACCCATCCCCTGAGAGGGAGCAAATCTTTGTCGTCGGCCTGTCCTGGACTTTCCTAGGGAAATAACGGGTCATTATTCAGACTTCACTTCTCTGGATGTTACTCTGATCTCTGCTCTTGGGCCTCTAGCCAGCCCATTGTATTGCAGGAAATTTTATTTCCTGCTTGTCTGCAAAGACTTCAAGGGTTAGAAGAGACTATAAAAAGGTTACTGAGTTGGGTCTGGCAGCTGCCCTGTGAGGAGAGAGCCAGCGGATCAGTCACTACCCCTTGGGGCCCTGCTCCGCTGCGTCCCCCTGAGGACAGCCAACCCCCGGGAACGAAGCCCCCGCTCTTGAACCGAGTTCCCTCAAGAAGCTGCCCTTGAAGGCTTCTTGTGGAAAGAAACCGCTATCAGGAGAAGAAAGTTGTTCAGTTTACAGTTGTCTAGTGCAAGGATTAACTGTTTTTACAGGCAGGAAAGATTTTGGAAAGCAACACCTGCTTGGTTTTGAACCTCAGGGTTACAGAATGCAGAGTCTGAGATAGCAAAGGAATGCGGCCCCCCTCACCCCACCCCACCCCCAAAAGCGCCTCTGGCGCCGGCACACCCGGTGGTGCAGGGCTCCCAGCCAGAGGACGGCGAGGGCAGGGGCACCCTGGCTGGAGTGCGATCCCCCAGTGAAGGAGGCCTGCTCCCCTCTCTGGGCGTCCAGACACCACCCAGTGCCGTCCCCTCGTGCAGGATGTTATGGAGCTTCTCCCGTAGGGCAAGGCCCGGCCGCTGGTGGCTCTGGAGGAGCCCGTGGGCCTGCCCGGGCTGGGCTTCCTGGTCTCGGGGCCCAGCTGCGTTTGAACAGGTGTGCGTCCTCTGGAAGCAGGGTACTCATTCTTGGGGAGTCCAGTGCCTTTTCTGCTCCCAGCATATCACTGGAGTCCCACTGCCCGTCCCTCCTCACGGTCAGCATTCGGCCCTCAGGCCCTCGTGGCCACATCGCCTGGGCCGCCTCAGCCAGGACACAGGGCTGAGCTTTCCAGAGTCCCCTGGTGAATCCCTTTGCAGGGAACAGCAGCTCCTTGCTAAAAAACTAAAGCACGTAGAAAACCTTGAATGTGTGTGAGTCGCCCTGCCACCAGGTCCACTGTCGGAAGCGCAGGTGGCTCAGGAGTGCCCCCTGCTGGGGGCACGGCGCAGCCGTGGGCTCACAGGCCCTCACGCTGGTCCAGGTCCCGAAGCAGCTGGTGCTGGAGGCGGGAGCCCCCTGTGAAACGTGCTCTGGAATGACCCTGGGAAGCAAGTCAATGAGTCCTTTGTTCAGCAGAATACGTCTTGCTCCATCAGCAGAGGCCCGTGGGGTACAGGAGTCATACGGAGGGCTGAGGCTTTTCCCCGGGCTTTTGGACGGGGCCTCACGTGTGGCTCCGCTGCCGGGTGGCCAGGCCAGCCAGTGGAGCTCAGGGCTGGGATTTTGTTTTGCTTTGTGTTTGTCCTGACGGCGTGTCGAGAGGAAGGTCCCCGACTATGTTGGCGGGAACATCCGTGTCTCCCGTGAACGCCCGCTCCCGTGTCTTGACACATGGGACCATACGTGCAGCCCCAGAGTGCCCTCTTGCCAAGGTAGCGGGCGTGGTCAGAGGGACCTCACGTGGTTGCAGGGACCTTGAGGCCCATCTCTGTAAGGTCGCCGCCTGTGGGAGTGACTTGACGCCCCATCGGTGCTCGGGGTGGCGCGGCCACCCTTTTCTTAGATCCAGGAGGGGTGTTGGGGAAGCCCCTCGGCCACAGAGTGGGAGGGAGGCTGGAAAACACCCCCAGCCCCAGGGTCCAGTCCCAGGAGAGGCGGCAGGAGCCCGAGTGCAGCCCTGCCCCGTGATAGCCGTGGGAGAGAGCCCCACGTCCCCTCCCTGGCCACTACCCCGGGGCGCGGGGGCTCTCGTTCAACGTCCAGTGTTCGATTTCCGCTCGTTTTGTCTGTTTGGCCGTTTCCCTCCGCCCAGTCCGTTTCCCAAATGAAAGCGCTTCCTTCGGGGAGTCTGGGTGCCCCTCTCACCCACTCTCTCCTGCTTCCGCTCCAGACAGTTCCATGGCTACCTGGACACCCTGATCAAGGACATCTTCGTCCCCAATCTGCAGTGGCACGCGGGGAGGACGGCTGCGGCCATCCGTACAGCGGCTGTGTCCTGCCTCTGGGCGCTTGTCAGCAGTGGAGTCCTGTCAGATGAGCAGGTAGGGCTCATGCATCCTGGACCCAAGAGGGGAACAGGCTGTGCCCTGGCTTCCGGGGCCTGCCTGGCACACCTGTCGCAGGTGAAGAGCTCTCACCTGAGTCTCCTGTCCTGATAGCGGCAGCAGTTGCTCCCAGACAGACCGAGGGGACGGGACTATGGGGCCAGAGGGCGAGCAGAGGTCTGGGGGGAAAGCCCGTTGTTTCCTTGGGTCACCTGGGGGTTTTCTTAAGTGATTATTACCGTTTACAAGAAAAGAATTTCATCACAGGAGTCTGACTCAAGAGTGTTGTTTGTATTCATATTTCCAGATAGATGAGGAATTGAGGAAACAGTAGAAGTAGGGAAAACATTGTGGTACCTGAACAGCTGTTACTTAAGTTGAAATGCCCCCCAAACTTTACTGGACACGATACCCAGTCCTGCTAGTAAGTAGTGGGCTGTGTAGGATCGGTGCTGAATAACAGATTTTTTAAAAACCAACTGACCGATGTTCAAATTATCTGGATTTTAAAAATCAAGATTCAGGTCTGCTTCTTACATAGAAATTTCAAAGTAGCTTTCCAGACTCAATCATACTTGCATCAAAACCAAGTCTCTTCAGTGACGGGCAAAGTACACAGTGTGTGAGTAGCAGTCTCTGTCACCAGGGTGGCACCAGCCGTGACCCACAGCTTGTGTGGTTTTTTTATTGCAGATACAGGAAGTGCAGGAAATGTTGATGCCTCAAATTCTAACCACCCTGGAAGAAGATTCTCAGATGACTCGATTGATTTCATGCCGAATCATTAACGTGTTTTTAAAGACCTCTGATGGTGTGATAGATGCAGACAAATTCATCAAGATTTATCCTGGTAGGACATTCTTCTTTTCCAATCATACGCCTCTGTTTGTTTGGTAGGAAAAATAGAAAATGCTGCTTTGACTTCTGGTCAGGTCGGTGCTATGAGTCTAAACGTGGATGTGACAGGTATGACGTCACTGAATGTCACTGAATAAGTAACGTAGCACAAGAAACAGGACAGACGTCTTGTGGACTGGAATTGCGGGCTGGGTGGGAGCATAGACGCCCACGGCGGCTGGGGTACCACCCCGTGGCCTCCGGTGTGAGGGCTGCAGCCCTGCCTCACGTCCCCCGTGTGATTGCCTCTTGGAGCCGGAGAGCACCGATGAGTCCCGGCCACAGAAGTGAAACCCGGCCCCGAGCGGAGCAGCGTCGCTGGAGGTGGGCCTGCAGCCGAGAAGCTCAGGGGCTGGTGGGTGTGCCCACGCCGGGGGTGGCGGGGGGAGGTGGAAGGTACAGGCCCTCAGTGCCATCTTTTCCACGTGTGGTTGGGATCGCGGAAATCTGCAAGGGTAACAGCCGTTCCAAACAAGTTGAGCACTTCCTGCGGCAGGGGCCACGTCTGGCCCCAAGGGTGGCAAGAAGCAGCCCCTGAAGCAGCCCAGGAGGCAGACGAGGAAGACCAGGCTTGCCGGCAGAAACAGGAGCCGAAGAAACTGGAGGAGCTGAGAGCTGAGGCCGCGGGAAGGACCCTGCCCACAGGCGGGATTAACAAATGTGGCAAAAAGCTGTTCCTCACGCCTGAGGCAGTGGCGACCCTTAGCCCCTCCTGTGTGAACATCTGGATTCCCTGCCATAACATCTGTTGCCACCTACAGCTAGAATGAAGTGTTATCTTGGAACCTACTGCATGTGTAAGAATAAACATTTGGGGCTTCCCTGGTGGCACAGTGGTTGAGAGTCCACCTGCCGATGCAGGGGACGCGGGTTCGTGCCCTGGTCCGGGAAGATCCTACATGCCGTGGAGTGGCTGGGCCCGTGAGCCATGGCTGCTGAGCCTGCGCGTCCGGAGCCTGTGCTCCGCAACGGGAGGGGCCACAGCAGTGAGAGGCCCGCAGGCGCGTCGTGTAGATCTGTGAGAAGAGCACGCATTGATAGAAGTCTCACCCGTTCACAGGAAGCGTTTCTGCGGATCAGGAAGGACTGTTAGTCCACTTTCAGCGGTGGGACATCTGGTCCCAGAGGCTCAGCAGAAACACAGCTGATGTAGCTGGTGGCCGTCGTGTCACCGGGCCCTCAGCTCTGTCCCCAGAGCCACGGTGGGCAGAAAGCGGGGTCAGCAGACGTCCTTCCTGTGCTGTCTGCTCCTTGGGGAGGATGGGGTGTGAGGCCTGTGTGTGACTCTGAGTCTGAGCATCTCGGAGCCGGGGGGACCCCAGCCGCCTTGCAGGTCAGAGGGCGAAGACGCCCACGCCGGGTGTGAAGCACACCTTCACTCCGTGTCCATGGAGTCCACCCCTGGGCCAGAGTGGCTGAGGGTCCCGGAACACCCGCTACCACCAGCCCCTCCCCAGCACCCGCCTGTGGGTTTCCCAGGCCAGGAGCCGGTGCTCCACAAGTGCTGAGAGCTTAGCTGGGAGCCGCCTGCCCTGGAACCTCTCCTCACACTCCTGTCTGGTCCCTCCTTGCAGAACTCTTAAAACGCCTGGATGACGTTTCCAATGAGGTGAGGCTGGCGGCCACCACCTCCTTGGTCACCTGGTTGGAGCGTGTCGGGAACGAGGCCGGCAAGTGCTATTACCAGAGCAACATTCAGCACCTGTACAGGGAGCTGCTCGTGTACCTCGACGACCCTGAGAGCGCCATCCAGGACGCAGTTCTCGGTAAGAGCTTCATCCCCATACTCGGGCCAGCCGCACGGGAGCAGCTGGCCGGGCGCCCGGACTCCCTTGGGCCCGCAGTCTTGCAACCCGTGTCCTCCGAGTTACTGCGGGTCCCAACGAGCTTGTGTCCTGTGGGTCACGGCCCCTGGTGTTCACCGTGGTAGAAGTTAAAACTTGAGAAAATGTTAAGGTACTGATTAATTTCTTTAAAATAACAACCATTACATTTTAACATAAATAACGTGGTTTTGAAAGATGCGTTTTGTAAAACAAAATAACAAGAGCAGTGGCATTATTTTACATTTTTGTGAATCTCTCTAACGTCGAGCTGATAGAAGACAACCAGACGCACATCTCTGCGTTGCGTCGGTTGTGATGCGTGTCGTTTGGTTAAAGTATGTGAAAAACAAACGGCCCACACAGATGCAGTTGGAAGAGAAGAGTATCTTGATGGCGGTCCTCTCCCTCACCGCACCCTGACTGGACAGGTGGTAGTCTCCTCAAGGTTCCTTGGAGTGTAGACCCTGGAGCCACTGTGGAACCACACCCGTTCCGCTCAAGTCCATCTATCCGCCCCGCGTGCTCATTAACTTGGACGCGCTCTGTTCTCAGTGTCAAAAAGTCACTGTTGGCGTCAAGCTCAGAAAAGTCTTGGGAAGAACAGCTTCAGGAGGCTGTCAGGCTTTTGGTGGCAGAAACAAGTTTCTATAATTCTTATTACTGCTTGAGAGCTTCAATTTTATCATCAGCCACAAATACTGTCGCTTCATTCGCTTACAAGAAAGCATCCTGTTGAGTCCCCAAGTCTGAATAACAAGAGGCAGTTGTCACTGGTCATTCTTTCAAGTAAAAAGTGGTGTCTGGGAGCTGCCCAGCCCTCGGCCCCATTGCACACGCGTGTGCCTCCCGTTCCATCCCAGGGTGCTGAAAAGCTAAAAAGGAAGGACACGTGTCGTATCCCCTGAACCACCACCGACGTGTGAGCGAAGCCACGTGGCTGAGATGGCCATAAACAGACTTCAGTTTAGAGTGGAGTTCTAAAAACTGTCCAGATAACCCAAAAGAAGTCAAGAAAGGAGAACGAGAAGGATGCAGAGGAGGGACGACCAGGAAGCAGACAGAGAGCAGATCCAGCCACGGCGTGATCTGTGACCACCCGCGCTGGGCGCTCGGTGGAGGGCAGACGCTGTCAGTCCCTAGAAAATCCAGACTTCATCGGAATGAGTTTACTAAAGTTGGGTGCTCAGGGGTTGAGATTTCATGAAGTAGATGATTTTTATGCTCCTCTGAGGACATAACTGACTCCTGCAGTGACTCACTCCCCAGAGCCCGGCCAGCGCTCGTGCCGCCCTGGCCTTGAGCCCTCAGTGCGGAGGGCGCCCCGTGAGCCGGGGGTCGTGCCCTTCGTGTCACTGTGGACGGAGTTCTGACTCACACCCTCTGAAGGGTCTCAGGGCCCCCCAAAACCCTGGGGCACCCTTTGAGAGCCCCTGCCCAGGCCACCCGCAGGTTCAGGTGCCCCGTTGTAGGGCACCACGTCGCTGCTCTCCGGGGAACGGAAACAAACTGTGAATTCGAGACCAATGGAAACTGCTTACAACGGCAACAGCTGAGAGCAGACGGGTTGTCTGCCTCGGCTTTGCACCAGGGGTCGGCACGTGTGCCCGACTGGGGTTCCTGGCCAGCCGTCGCCCTCCCCGTTCGTACAGACCGCACGGTTCGTACAGACGGTGAGCAGCGGGTACACAGACTCCCTCACACCTGCGCCCCACCATGCACAGCCTCCCCCGTGATCAGCAGCCCCCCCGGGTGCTGCATCTGGTCCAGTCAGTAAGCCTCACAGACACGCCACGGTCACCCCAAGTCCATGGTTTACGTTAGGGGTCACTCTGGGCGCCGTACATTGTGTGGTTTGGACAAGCATGTAATGACACGTATCCCTCGTTGCATTCACAGTCTCATACAGAATAGTTTCACTGCCCTAACACTCCTCTGTGCCGCACCTGTCCGTCTGTCCGTCTGTCCGCCCTCCCAACTTTAGCGACCACTGATCTTTCACTGTCTCCATAGTTTTGCCTTTTCCAGAACGTCACGTACTTGAAATCATATAGTCTGTAGCCTTTTCGAATTGCTTCTTTCACTTAGTAATGAGCATTTGAGATTCCTCTATGTTTTCTCATGGCTTGAGAGCTCTTTTTTTTTTTTTTTTTAGCACTAATATTCCATTGTCTGAATGAACCTGTTTATTTATACATTCACCTACTGAGGGGCATCTTGGTTGCTTCCAAATTTTGGCGATTATGAATAAAGCTTCTCTAAACATCTGTGTGCAGGTTTTTTGCCAACGTAAGTTTTCAGCTCCTTTGGGTAAATACCAAGGAATGTGATTGCTGGATCATATCGTAAGAGTATATTTATTTTTGTAAGAAATCACCGAACTGTCTTCGTGGACACACTATTTTGCATTCCCACCAGCAATGATGAGAGTCCGTGTCATTCCCCATTCTGCCAGCATGTGGTGTTCTGATTCTGGCCATTCTGATAGGTGTGTAGTGATATCTCATTTTAATTTGCATTTCTCTGGTGACATATCATGTGAAGTATCTTTTCACAGGCTTATTTTACATCTGTATATCTTCTTTGATGAGGTGTCTGTTAAGGTCTTTGCCCCCCCTTTTTTTTTTGGCTGCGTTTGGGGGCTACTCTTCGTTGTGGTGCGCGGGCTTCTCATTGTGGTGGCTTCTCTTGTTGTGGAACAGGGCTCTAGGCATGCGGCCTTAGTTGCTCCGTGGCATGTGGGATCTTCCCAGATCACGGATCGAACCCGTGTCCCCTGCATTGGCAGGCAGATTCTTAACCACTGCGCCACCAGGGAAGTCCCTGGCCCATTTTTAAATTGGGTTGTTTGTTTTCATATTGTTGAGTTTTAAGATTTGTATATTATAGATAATAGTCCTTTATCAGATCTGTCTTTCTTAAGACTTTATTGTTAATTTTTTTGTTTCCCTTTAATTTTTTATTTTTTAAATTTTTATTGGAGTAGAGTTGATTTACAATGTTGTGTTAGTTTCTGCTGTACAGCAAAGTGAATCAGTTATACATATACATATATCTACTCTTTTTTAGATTCTTTTCCCATATAGGTCATTACAGAGTATTGAGTGGAGTTCCCTTTGCTATACAGTAGTTCCTTATTAGTTATCTATTTTATATATGGTAGTGTGTATGTGTCAATCCCAGTCTCCCAATTTATCCCTCCCCTCTTTTCCCCGCTGGTAACCATAGTTTGTTTTCTACATCTCTGACTCTATTTCTGTTTTGTAAATAAGTTCATTTGTATAATATTCTTAGATTCCACATATAAGCAATATCATATGATATTTGTCTTTCTTTGACTTGCTTCACTTAGTATGACGATCTCTAGGTCCATCCATGTCACTTCAAACGGCATTATTTCATTCTTTTTTTATGGCTGAGTAATATTCTCACATCTTCCTTATCCACTCATCTGTCGATGGACATTTAGGCTGCTTCCATGTCTTGACTATTGTAAATAGTGCTGCTATGAATATTGGGGTGCATGTATCTTTTCAAATTGGAGGTGTTTCCAGATATATGCCTAGGATGGGGTTGCTGGATCATATGGTAGTTCTACTTTTAGTTTTTTGAGGAACCTCCATTCTGTTCTCCATAATGGTTGTACCAATTTACATTCCCACCAACAGTGTAGGAGGGTTCCATTTTTCCACACCCTCTCCAACATTTATTGTTTGTAGACTTTTTGATGATGGCCATTCTGACTGGTGTGAAGTGATACCTCACTGTAGTTTTGATATGCATTTCTCTAATAATTAGCAATGTTGAGCATCTTTTCATGTGCCTGTTAGCCATCTGTATGTCTTCTTTGGAGAAATGTCTGTTGAGATCTTCTGCCCATTTTTGGATTGGGTTGTTTTCTCTTTTGACATAGAGCTGCATGAGCTGTTTGTATATTTTGGAGATTAGTCCCTTGTCGGTCGCTTCATTTGCAAATATTTTCTCCCACTATGTGGGTTGTCTTTTCGTTTAGTTTATGGTTTCCTTTGCTGTGCAGAAGCTTTAAGTTTAATTAGGTCTCGTTTGTCTATTTTTGTTTTTATTTTCATTATTCTAAGAAGTGGATCAAGAAAGATCTTGCTGTGATTTATGTCAAAGAGTGTTTTGCCTATGTTTTCTCTAAGAGTTTTATAGTGTCCGGCCTTACATTTAGGTCTTTTATCCATTTCAAGTTTATTTTTGTGTATAGTGTTAGGAAGTGTTCTAATTTCATTTTTTTACATGCAGCTGTCCAGTTTTCCCAGCACCACTTATTGAAGAGACTGTCTTTTCTCCATTGTATACTCTTGCCTCGTTTGTCATAGATTAGTTGACCATAGGTGCGTGGGTTTATCTCTGGGCTTTCTGTCCTGTTCCATTGATCTATATTTCTGTTTTTGTGCCAGTACCATACTGTTTTGATTACTGTAGCTTTGTAGTATAGTCTGAAGTCAGGGCATCTGATTCCTCCAGCTCCGTTTTTCTTTCTCAGGATTGCTTTGGCTATTCGGGGTCTTTTGTGTTTCCATATATATCAGATGTATCTTCTGCAAATATTTTCTCTCAATCTGTGGCAAAAGTTTTTAATTTTAATGAAGTCCAGCTTATCAATTATTTCTTTCATGGATTATACTTTTGGTGTTTATCTAAAAAAGTATTGCCATACCCAAAGGTCACCTAGGTTTTCTCCTATGTTATATTCTAGGAGTTTTATATTTACGTCTATCATCAATTTTGAGTTAATTGTCATGAAAGAGGTAAGGTCTGTGTCTAGATTTTTTTGTTGTTTTTTGTTCTTTGGATGTGGATGTCCATTTGTTCTATCACCATTTGTGAAAAGACTGTCT